AGTTTCTCGCCGAACATACTGTCTCGGTGACAAAACGGGGTCCCTTTACGCACGCACACACACACACACCCCGACAAATTGTATTTTATGAGCCAACAACATACACACGTACCCATGTAGGCAAATCAAGATACAGATACACAGCAACATGCTTATGCACATATCAAGACAGGGAGGACATATACATATATATATATATAGATTTAGATATAGAGATATAAGAATATGACATGATATATGTGGTAGGTGTTTTGCTACTCTCAATGCATGATGGTTACTACGTAAGGTGTGTATGTATACACATACATATGGTTTTCTATGTATGTATGTATTTATTTGATAATTGTATACATACATATATTGGTAATCAGGTGTGTGGATATTTCCATATGCACACATGTGAGTGGTTAGTGTGTAATAAATATGTGTGTGTACATGTATGCGTATATACTTCGATATATGATGTAGGAGAATCCTTAGATATACCTGTGCATCTGGGACAAGCCCAAATTTGAGACAGTTTACCATTTTGTTTCCACCTCTCAGATTGCGTGGCTTAAGTTGTTTGGGGCTACCTGTTTGTGCAAATGGGTTCCCATGAGCATCCGCCGAGGCAACCTCAGCCTATCAGTCTGCAAAATCAGCGAGGAGAATCTGCAGGGTAAGGAGACGAAACTTAACGAACATTACATTACTTCGAGTTATCCCCACCATGACATTTATACGTTTTGTTACTGGCAAATCTTCTGGCATTTTATCTGGCATATCTTCTGGCATTCTATCTGGCATATCTTCTGGCATATCTTTTGGCATTCTACCTTGCATATCTTCTGCAATATGTTCTGGCATATCTTCTGGCACTCTATCTGGCATATCTTCTGGCATATCTTCTGACATTCTATCTGGCATTCTATCTGGCAAATCTTCTGGCATTCTATCTGGCAAACATTCTGGCACTTTATCTGGCATACCTTCTGGCATTCTATCTGGCATATCTTGTGGCATTCTATCTGGCATATCTTCTGGCATTTTATCTGGCATATCTTCTGGCATTTTATCTGGCATATCTTCTGGCATTCTATCTGACATTCTACCTGGCGTTCTATCTGACATATCTTCTGGCATTCTATCTGGCAAATCTTCTGGCATTCTACCTGGCATATCTTCTGGCATATCTTCTGGCATATGTTCTGGCATATCTTCCGGCATTCTATCTGGCATATCTTCTGGCACTTTATCTGGCATATCTTCTGGCATTCTATCTGACCTTTTATCTGGCATTCTATCGGGCATACCTTCTGGCATTCTATCTGGCATATCTTCTGGCATTCTATCTGGCATATCTTCTGGCATTCTATCTGGCATATCTTATGGCATTCTATCTGGCATATCTTCTGGCATTCTATCTGGCCGTTGAGGTCCAGCGGTGCGCACTGAGCTCGGAAGGTCCCAAGTTGAGATCCAGCGGTGCGCACTGAGCTGGGAAGGTCCCAGGTTGAGGTCCAGCGGTGCGCACTGAGCTCGGAAGGTCCCAAGTTGAGGTCCAGTGGTGCGCACTGAGCTGGGAAGGTCCCAGGTTGAGGTCCAGCGGTGCGCACTGAGCTGGGAAGGTCCCAGGTTGAGGTCCAGCGGTGCGCACTGAGCTGGGAAGTTGGCGAAGAGCTTGGCGAAGAGTTGGCAAGGCGGAAGTGGAGGTGGAAGTTGATGCAGACATGGTCGAGGAGAAACTGGAGGAGGAGGCGGAGGAGGAGGAGAAGCAGGAGGAGGAGGAGGCGGAGGAGGAGGACAACAGCTCTGATAAAATCTAACAACCCTCACCTGGCAGGAGGGGAATAAATTTTGAAATTTCACCCCTTACTGATCTATGTTGGAACTGCTTTGTTGTTGGGAAAACGGTCACTTTTTCAATTCCATTTCGCGTCAGATTTTTGCCAGATCTAAGGAAGGTCCCATGACTTGCTGTGGAAACTTGCACGGTGTACGGACGGTACCAGCAAAAACTCATGCAGGGGTCTTTCTAGACTTATCGACAATGATGGCCTCTCCCTTCCCATTGAGGTCCAGTATGTGAAGGTGACATGCCGGCGTCGAAAGCCCAAAGTCAAGGATTTCGATGTCCATTGGCCGGTATTGTCAATGCGAAATTGGTTCACCTACATTCTTAAGAGCCACCCTGGCCTTTGCTTGGGGGGCCATTCCATTGATGAGGACTGGCCAAAAATGCACGAAAGTTTCTGGGCTAGATGGAAGGAACATGAGCCCAGCCATCACATATTTTCAAGCGGGAAACCATTGAGCCACTGCTTGCCATTCTTTACGCATGGCGACGAGGGCCAAACAACTCGGAAAACACCATTTTTGGTGGAAAGTTTTCAGTGTGCAATTAGCTGGAAAGGGATGGACTATACTACAATGTCTGGGATTTTTGTCATTGGCTTCAGCAACTAAATTTTGATCCCTTGATTTTATGAATTTTGAATGTTCATCTATCCCGGTACCTGATATCTCCTGATCATGGCTACTGGTTTGGTTCAGCTAAGGTCCAGTTTCTGCAGCCGCTTCCTATTTACTTGCATGTCTAGCGCTTGTTTCGCTGGGGACTTGACACTTCGCCAGCTGAATACGCACTGGGTGGAACAAATGCTGGAACTCTTTGAGAATGGCTTAGAGGCAGGTCTTCTCATCAACCCCCATGGGGTTCCTGTGCTAGTTGAAGCTATCCACAAACCTTATTCTGTAACAAGTTTGATCACTTGATCATCTTCCCTATCATGTTCATGCCCTTCGCCCCTGATAGGTCATTGGTCGGAATGCACCTTGCAAAATCTACCCCGTATGGCTGGGCATGAAAGGTGACTGGAAGTTTTTACTTTCAGTAACTTGGCATGCCCAGAACATTCGTTTGACAGAGATATTGCAACTCTAAGCCACAAAAGCTGGGTGCCATATGGATCACCAAGAATTCTTTCCCCCATGCTGCCCGGCGAGGCATTCTCCTTGAACACCCACTGGAAATCGAAACGCGTTTGCCACCTTTGCAGCGCGAAGGACTCGTGCAATAGTTGGTTTCCCCTTAAGTTTTGGGCATCTATCACTTTGTGGCATCCCTAAAGCGTAAACGGGTCTGTTTGAAGACGGGGTAAAACACGAAACGGCTATATCAATATGGAAAACGATGATTAACCAATGGGTTTGGGGGTGTCAAGTTTCAAACAATACATAGCTGGAGAAACCGGTGGTTGGGGTATACAATTTTTCTCAAACCAACTGAACTTGTTTTGAAGCAGGGTCATTGCTGCAGGACTGGCACAACCCGAGCAGGAGCGCACCATGGCAAACAGAACCTGAACGACCAGGGCCTTCACCGTTCAAACGATGTGGCACACCTTTCTCGAGAATGCCTGATGGTTTAAACCCTGAAAAAGCCATCATTGATATTGCCCATACTTTTCACATCAAAGGGATTGGGGTGGATTTCTGTGCCTCTGCGTTGGTGCTATGCGCTCGAAAAGGGTTATTTGGTCCTGGGAAATTGGATTCTCAGTTGGAAAAAGCCTATGGTCTATTTATGGACTACTGCCAAGCCAGGGGGAAAACCACTTCAATACGACATTGGAACTCAATCCGTGAGCTTGGCATGACATCGCAAAAAGACTTCCCAACCAGCATTTCCGGAAAGGGCTTTGACACTGCCATTGTTTGTGGGTTTCTTGGCGAGTTCCTCGCTGAACAGGAGGGGCCGGTTTCAAAAGCATGGTTTTCAACATATAAGTATGTGTCAATATTAACGATTTTGGGACCGTAGATTGAAGTTTAAGTTTATTTTTAACGGTAACCATCAAATCATTGGGGAACCTAATTCTGACCCATATGTTTCCTTATTACTCCTATTTGGTTCAACTAGTTGAAATTGGGTGTATTGAACGTGGTTCATTGATATATGTATCACCCTCAGTAAGTCCCAGGTTTGACACCAACTAGCATTTCAACCATCCAATGCGATTAATATGTTCCCTTTTTTCTTCGGGGTGCTTGGCTGTTGGGAGGACCTTTGTGATGACCAGCAGCTGAACATCTTGAGTTACGGCACCACCAACATCAATGTCTTTTTCAGAAGTCTGAATGAGGGTGGATGTTTTGATGACCGCCATGCAGAAATAGCTTTAGCTGGGCAACAATTTGCAGAAGCCTATTGTGCATTAGCATCCCTCGGTGTACAGGAACGTCTGGTATCATTCAAGTTAAGACCCAAACTACACATGTTTGGGGAAGAAGTGCGGAAGATGTTTGAATCCGCCTTCAATATTTTGGGGGCTAGTTGCTGGAGCGATGAAGATTTTATAGGAAGATGCTCACAGACAGCCAGAAGCTGCAGTACTGGCAGCACTGGCCTGTCCATGAGCATCAGGGCAATCCAAAAGATTCTTGGACAATATCGCCTCCAATTTGCTAGGCTTGAGTAATGGAGCCTGACCCCTTTGATTACCCTATGGTCCACACAAGTGCTGAACTGGGACCCCAGGCGTGGCTGAGGACGTTGCGCAGGTCCAGGTGATCAAAGTGTGTGTGCGCGCTTTGATAGGCAACCATGGGTGTGGGTAAAAAATAAACTTCTGAGATTTTCCTGAAACAGACTATATTTGCACAAATGTGAACCATTTCTTGGTCGATGTAACCTATCTTCTTTAAACACCTAGAATTTCCTCGGCCCCGGAGGGTCGAGGGATGTATTGGAGATTTCATCAGATGGATGACTTTCCGCTAAACATTGCGGGGGTACCCTCCACGGCTCAGCTGTCACCAAGTTGTGTTTTTTCTGTTTCACCACAACGTGGGCCTCCCCAGTGAATATTGCTGCGTTTATCAATCCCATGAATACTATAATTCGTTATATACGCATTTTATAAAGCATAGTAAAACTAGAAATTGGAGTTATGTTCACCAACTAAGCGATTTCCTAAAACCGGGGACCCCAATTTGCACCTTTCCAGCCAGGATGCCTAATGCTCCCTGCCAGCTCTGGAAGGAGAGCCACATGATGGCCACAGCTCCCCTGGAGAGCGTGCAGAAATGCGCGCCGGCGCTGCCAAATGAGCTACGTGCGAAGACGGGGAAGGGGATACCATACCTGGAAGAACCCCAGATCCAGACGGGTGAGTGGTTATGAGCTAGTCAAAAGCAGTGCTATTCCACTTACATCTGTAAAGATAGGGATATATAATTAAAATCCATCTATAAAGACTTGCGACGAACTTTTGTGTGTTAGACTCTGATATCTCGGCCATTGGATTTGTTTGATATGAACCATTTATAATTTATAATAGAAAATAAAGCACGGTTTCTGCCATCAAATGACGGGCCCGTTCTGGCATGTCTTCCAATACACATGCAAATAACAACAAAATTATGATCCCTATGGATCCAAATACTTTCTGAGAAGGTAGGGCTGGATCCATAGGGGAGAATATTCGCAAAACGAATGATGTAGACAGGGTACCCTCCCAAAACAAATCTGGTTTTACTGAACAATTTCCACATCTGTAGTTCTTTAATAGGGTGTTCAATGTTTGACCAAAAACGCTTGGGAAACTGACTTTAGGTGCGTCTGAAGATTGGTTTTTTTCGTACCTCGCAAATACTCCCACATTGCCATTGTATATGAGGGATACCCTCTGGTAATTAAACATAGCTATTGAAAATGGCCAGTTATAGTGGATTTTCCCATTAAAAATGGTGATTTTCCATAGTTATGTTAGTTTACCAGAGGGTAATGATGATTGATGAGATGGATTTAGGGATACCTTATTTTCAGACAAACATGACAAACCCAATTACTAAGGAAAAACAGAACCACCGCAGAAGAATTGGTACCAGGTTATTTTTGATTTAGGCGACTAACTATACTAACTCATCAAAGGCTGGAACCAAATGGGTGTAGAAACTGAATGGGCTCACTTGGTGGCTACACGTTCCGTCTCAAGAAGAAAATGGCGGAAGAAGTCTGACCATATTTATATCATCAACAACCATCATAGTTACAAAACTTTATATGAGTGTACCAGTAGTATGGCTCAATTTTTGGGTGACCAATGAACCCACAATGGCTGTGTCCTCTGTACCACACACGTTTCGGCTCCCTGTGTTATCTGGAGCAGTGAGGCCAGGTACTTGACTCCGGCCGCAGCATTGAGGGTTAAGCCGATCACCAGCAGCACGGTACCGATGCTCTGTGCGAATAAGGTTTCTGGCACTGACAGACCCAAACTCAGCACCGCAGCACCACTGGAGAAAGTCCCCGCATTCACCATCCTGAGGATCGAGTGATGCGAGGGATTCCCATGTTGACCAAATCCTGGTTCTTTTTCAGGGGGGTTGAAACCACCAACCAGATATATTAACTTATATCAACCATATAATAACCATATAATTAACCATCATTAACAGTATTAAAAAAAAAAATCGGCCACGTTCTTGGCTTTTCAATCATCAACTCATTGAAGTCCTCGTGGTGCTTGTAGCTTGAAAACATTGGAGGATCATCCCACCAAGTGTGGTTCGTCAAGCCGGGCTTAGTGCTAACCCATTGATCAACGGGAAAATCCACGGAACACAGACTTCAAAAAAACCACATGGGTCACGCCATTTTGCGCCAAAAAACATGTGGATTTTTTAGGATCCTGATGTTGGTCGGTTCAATCCTGACTGGATTGGTGGGAAATGACACCCTCTGGAGATGTTTGACATGGACAATTGCCCATTTAAAGATGATTCGCCATGGAAATGGTGATTTTCACAACTGTTTGATTAGCCGAGGGAAAAACAAACTGTGTCTGCCTGAGATGTCCAGACATAATGCCCTGAATGGTTTTCGATGATCCTGCAGACATCGCTCCGCTGGTTTGTTCGTTCAATCCACGTGGAAAATCACCATCTTGAATTTGGATCAAAGTCAGTAGCTATCTGGATTATATTCATAATAATCATCATAATGATCATCATCATAATAATCTATATCTTTATCCTACAATATGAATAATAATTCTCAAAAATGTGAAACTTCGTTCCAACACATATTTCAGTAGCCAGTCATGTCCATAATTTCCCACCTCGACCCATCCATCTCTGTCATGGCTCATGGTCGCCCAGGCCCCGGCGAAGACGCTCCAGGTCCAGGTTCTGGCAGCGCCTTCGGGGGTCGGCTCTAAATCCTCCACTCCCTCCATGGCTGCCATGGCTGGTTGGACCAGGAGCTCTTGTGTCAGCATCCAATGTCTCCAAATTTCATGACCTTCATGAAATAAACTGGTTTTAAGATGTTAAAAAACTGCTGGATGTTTGATTTGCTAGCTTCTTGGTGCTCGGCAACATGTCTCAAACTAGTTGCTTGTTTCTTTTTCCAGTGCATTCTGTGTCAAACATACTGTTTGGATCTAAATTTGGAATTTGTTTACATGTTGGCTTATGTTTGTATAGATGTTGTATGCCCAAGTTCAGAAATTGGCTGGTTCGCTGTCACCCTCAGCTGTACAGCCTGCAGTGAACACAGTGGCAAATGTTTCTGTTGCACATCCGTGCTGGGCGTGTTGAGCTGAAATGCTACGGGTAGAGGAAAAGGTGTAGCGTAATGCGTTAAACCGTTAAACCCAATATTTATTACTAACCAAACATTACTAACCAATATTTATGATATTTTATTAATGTTTGGCGTAGCTAAAATCTCCCATGTATTTTTGGTTAGTACTAGTTATAACACCGGTACTACCGCCCATTTCTGGTGATATTGGGGAGGGTTCTCGTTTAATTGGCTTCACCTTACATTACAGCTCAGTTCATCTTCAGAAATTCTCAGCTGATGAATCAACTGAATCAATGGATTCTTTCTGTCGTGACGCCACCTCAAAGTCAAGCCGACAGCCTCCCAAAGGATTTTCTATGAAACGTTTCAACCGCTCGATTGTCTCCCAAAAATGACCAAATCCATGTCAATTTCAATGGAGGATGCCTTTATTGGCTATGATTCTTTTGAAGGGAAAGTGAAGATTTGAGAATAGCTATTCTAATTGCCGCTATTGTTATAGTTCTGTAAACTAGTGACACATCAATTCGATTACTTTAAAACCGACCCAATAAACAAATGAGAATAGTCAACCATTTTCAAACGCTCATGTTCATTCTATTCTGGAAAGTGACAATAATTATTCTGATTATTCTTCTATAATTTGGATAATTACCATGTTCAAATTCCAATCATCATTCTATACTGGAAAGTGACACTATTTCTTCTCATTAAAATTGTTCATTGCCATTGTCAAATTCTAATTCTCATATAATTAATGTCATATGTATATATATATATATCTGGGCAAATTATAATATTTCACTAACCTGAATTAAGGCCATTTGGGGATGATTTCCCTTATTAACTATGATTCCAGTGAGGTCGCAGTGAGGTCGTTATAATTTACCCATATATATATATATATTCATTACATTTTGGGGTTGTCCCCAAATGTTCAGCTCCCAGCCGCGGCACCAAGCACGGCAAACAAAAACCACGGCACCTCTTCATTCGCCTGCGAGGGGACTAGAGGGACCAGAGGGACCAGGCAATTTCGGCGATTTCATACCGAAGGACCAGGCGTTAACAAAAGAAATGAACAAACCAAGGTCCTTGTTAATAGATGGTTAGCATATGTTAATCCAACTAGATGATTATTGGTTAATGCCCTCTGGTAATCTGGTTGGTTGATATATGATGTATGATGTATGATGTATGATACATGATATGATATAGAATATGTGATATATATAATATGTGATATAGAATATATGATATGATATGATGTGATATGATATGGTGTAAATCCTTAATGATTTAATGGGATTTAATGGGTTTTAATGGGATTTTTATGGGATTTACCCTCTGGTAAAGGTTTACATTGCTGGTTGGTGGTGCAATAACCATCTTGAAAAATGATGGAGTTCGTCAATGGGTTTCGGATGACATCCCATATATGAAATGGAAAATAACAAATGTTCAAAACCACCGACCAGATATGTATTAGTTTAATAATAGTTTACTAGTTTAATCTGTTTTTTTTTAAAAAGAGTTATATAATATAGTTATATAATACAAACCAAATAATAGTTTAATAATAGTTTTGATTCCTACTATAACCACAACATAGTTATATAAAGTCATACATATGTGTAAAATCTACTCGGATTACTTACTTGTATCCCAACATTTCCCAATTCAACCTGCTGTTGAACTGGTTCCGCTGGCAGGATGGCATGCAAAGGAATGGATCGATGCTAAGTCAAGAAACAATTAAATATACAAAGATTACATCACATAGTTAACTTATTCTGTTCCTTCCAATAGTCTCACACTATATATTACATAACATAGTTATTACATATATAAATTAATCCATAGTTAACATAGTATGTCGCTGTAATATCGTCCAATCTTCAGGGAGCTTCAGATGCCAGGCTTGAACAGGTCTCTGGGATTTGATTTTAAAAGCAACGGTCAAGTCCGCCAATTCTGTTGGGGACCGAAAAGCAGAAGGGCAATAGGAATGGGTCAACTGTTGAGGCTTCGTCTGCATAACTTTGAGGACTAAGTAAAATGTTGGTTGCTTTAATAAAACCCCTTTTAACTAGTTCGATATACCTACAATAAATCTAACAGTTGTTGCTTAATTTTGACCCACACCCAAACCTCTCTGCTCGCTAGGCTGTGCATGCGCACTCAAAGTGATGAACAACTTTGCCACGAACTGCGGTCACTATTCATGGTTGAACCTGCGACAACATCCCATTTCCATGACAAAAAGTAGTTTTAGAGAACCCAGAACCTGCAAAACATGATACTGATACAAGCTTTAGCTGGGTATGATACAAATTGAAAGCACAAACGGACACGAAGCCAACCGATTGACCAAACAGTTTGCTCAGGCTCACCCAGTGCAAAGCATGAAATCACTTGATCACTTTGCATGCCATGCCTGGAAACTACAAGTACTCCAGCCCCAAAATAAACACAGCTTAAGGATAGCAACAGTATTTGTTTCATCCGATGATATAATGGGCTTCAACATACACAGATATATATATATATATATATGCATAATTTTGACAAACACATCCATATACAGTATCTATCATATATCCATATATCCTGTTTTCTGGAGGTCTGGCAGGACAGGAAAAAATAATCTTCACAGCTGTCAGTGTTCAACTGTCGATGGCAATTGACATGAAGGCACAACTGCCATGACCACAACCATTCACCATTAGCACAAAGCACATCTGGTTGGTGGTTGACCTACCCCTCTGAAAAATATGAGTTCGTCAGTTGGGATGATGAAATTCCCAACTGAATGGAAAAATAAAAAATGTTCCAAACCACCAACCAGACATGGGTAGGGGTCAAGCCACGACGAGACCCAAATAAATTGAACTGGTTTTGTTTGATGATAGGTGTTGTGACCCAAATGCACCCAACGAATTGCTGTCACCCACACGCAAGTAGTTTTTCCGTTGACAGTTTAGCCTATCCCCAAAAAAACACTTGCAAACATGCTTCCCATTCAGAGACACTCTGGAGTTTATCTCCGTTGGTTGTGTCAAGTTATATCCATGCCACGGGTTAAGATTCCAGTTCAATAACCCATATGCGAACCATGGTGATGGTATATTTACCTACATAACTGGGTGATTTTGGACAAGGGCAAATGTTAGCATATATACCATACATGGAGCATATGGGTAATGATAAACAAGTAGGTGGGAAAATCATGCAATTGCTCTAGTCGCCCCTGTCGAACACTCTGGTGAGACTCATTTCGCAGTGAACAATCAATCGTAGGTGTCCTGACAGCGTGGCAAAGCTTTGGATCTGCCTTAAATCTGACAGCCAAATCCATCTCCATTCAAGAACAAGCGGGAAAATGAATGAAAATGAGTCGGGGATTCTGATAGCAATGGATTGGTTTAAGGGAAATTCTACAGGAAATCATGGTTTTTACCATCAAATATAGGGGTTTCCTGTAAATGTTCCAATCATCCAATTCTATGATCGCAACTGAAATCATTTTTTTGTTGATTCCCTATCCTCAACCAGGCTTAGATGATCCGCGACACGACAATGTGAGGCCTCCAAGATTCGCTAGTTTGGTCATCATCGCTATATAGATTATATAGACTGATAGAGCTTTAGTCTGGTTTATGATAGATCTATAGTCTATAGTAGATCTATGGTTGGATGGGTTAGAACAAATACAGGTCACTCCCGGCAGTCTTTCGGCGTCCTTCCAATCAGAGACCAGGGTCATTTGACCGATGACATCCTGGCAGCATTTACCCAATGGGACCCCAGCTGAGCCGTTTTTTGGCTCATCTCTGGTCATCCGGAGAGATTGGCCATCATAGATGGGTTTTAAAAAATATCATGGGGTCCAGTGATTTTGGGTCATCTATGACCATCATGTGGTCGTCTTTTTGGCCCCCATATCAGGAGAGTTGGGTAAAAATTTAATCTGGGGTCCAGTGATGACCAGCGGATGCTTCTGGGGTACCATTGGATGATCCTGGTCCCTGGGATGACTATTGGAACATCAGAATCCTGCAGCATAGCCTCCGGTAAATTTAGGACTTTGCCATGGAAAATAACCTATTTAGTTCGGTAAATGACCTCCTATTCAGTTATGGATAAATAGCCTATTTACCAGCTATCCATGGACTTTACCATTTAGTTCCTTGAGTTATCCATAGCTTTGCAACAAATGACCAGAGGGCCATGGTTTTGAATTCAAGTGGATTGCTGATCATTCCCTGTGTGGAATGGAACACGGCGAACATTTGGTCTCATTGCCATGTAAGACCAAAAACATCCAAAAACTCATAAATTTCAATGAGTTATGATAGTCTTGGGTCCTCTAGCTCCCATTAAGTTTGGTACTTATAGATGGATCATGTCTATTTATATATATATACATGTAATTGCATAAATACAAACTTATATTGTTTAGCTAGCTAGCAACATATGGGGATGGGAAAATATCGCATTTTGACTGGGGGGATGGAAGATCCGTGAATACCAACTCAGCGTGAACAGCCAGGTCTTTGACTTAGCCTGGAGAACCTCCCAACTGCAAGCGCAACAATTTGTGGTTCTTCGACTGCAAACAAATGTTTGATTCGGCGACATCAGAAATTATCTTGGTATAGTGATTCATCCCGCAATCTCCCTGACATGCTATACTTGAACAGATTGCTTACTTAAACTCACTATCCTCTCATCCTAAGCCATTGGCACCAACTCTTTTCGTCGCAACTGATAGTCTCTGGTTTGCTGTCCACCTCTCTCAGTTTTTTGTGTTTCTGCAACAGTTCCTTCACTCCTTAGCCGCCAAAATCGGGGATGCAACGGTTGATCGGTTGATGCGTTCACCACAAGATGAACCAGCTGGATGATGAAGGCACATTCTTTGAATATGCAACTTCCTGTGACATTAATGTAATTTGAAAGCACCATGGATAATAACAAACAGCATGGCTTGATTAGCAGACAAAACTATACGCATTGTTGTCGAAACACCAAAATTGCTTAATGTAAACAGGACATGAAGCCTCTAGCATGCCAAATGGATAAAATCATTCATGATTCAAATTCATAATAATAGTAATATATATATATATATATGTATACGTATATTAAGTAAGTATATATGTTTATATGATATGAATCAGGCTGTGAATCAACACTTAAAATCCGCTCTCTCAGGTTTCCGTAACCACTGACAAAAACCACATTCATGGTCTGCTTTGCCTTTCAAAACATTGACATTTGGAACTCTAAGTTTGGAGAAAGCCTGCAAAACAAACAAAAACACCTACTGAGAGTGGTCAAATATCTTTCGTTCTATCTTTTTGGGGCACAATATGGTGGAAACCACCTGGCAGTTGTTCCCTGCCAAGGCGGTCTAATCTGCCTTTCTCAACCGAGAAAGAATACGGAAAAAAACGCAGTGGAACGAACTGATTCCGATCTCTAAGACAAAACATGAAAACCATGGTTTACCATTTAGGGTACACACTTAAAACAAATACCGACCAACTTGATATTATCAAATGATTGACAAGTCACCCCCACAATAGTAGGCCTTCTGAAGGGCGAATCGAAACCACAACCACAATTTTTAAAGGTGCATCTTAACATATGTTAATAATCTTTTTTGACGCACCCAAACAAGGAGCCTGGTGGAATACCCATTAAGTTGATAGATATATGATATTCCTCAATTTCACCAGTTTTGGTTGATTAGTTCCACCACAGATGGTTGCCTAAAAAACATCATGGACTGGTTGAATCATGTTGAATCATCTGGTTGGTGGTATACTACCTACCCCTCCGAAAAATATTAGTCAGTTGGGAAGATACAATTCCCAATATATGGAAAAATAAAATTCACCATGATTCGTTGAGAGAAACCCCCATAGATTGATTTCACACCTACGGCTGCATTCCCATTTGTAATTTAATGTGGTAAACCCAAGGCTATAAACGTCCATAAACCCTCCCCATAGAAGTAAAAATGACATGAAGGGTCCAAGCCGCTTGCAGTAAACAAAAACCAACACTGGTTGGTGGTATACCAACCCCTCTGAAAAATGATACTTCGTCAGTTGGGATGATGAAATTCCCAATATATGGAAAAATAAAACATGTTCCAAACCACCCACCAGAACATGATAGTGCTTTAATGTGCCCATTAAAACCTCCATTGAGTTCCGACAAGAAATCCACGTCACCAGATCTGATGATTAGCCCAACTGACCCAGTGACTCAACTCCGCTGGCCGCTCATCGCTGCCGGCCCGGCCACCCTCCAGGACCTTTTGTGGACGCATGTGGAGGCGGGCAATGGACATTCTCAATGACTTCTGTTTTGTGTTTTTTTCCAACAAGAATAATCCACTTGCCACTTGAGATTCATATCTTTTAAAACGCATAAATCCATTTATAAACAAACAAATGCCATAGAAACAAAACTACATAAGACCATAGATGATTTTACCAATGAAAAGCTGGATGGGCCATTGCCATGTTTTTTTTTGCACCAAAGGGTCGGTAAATTGCATACTTACCGTAAATCCAACTTGGAAAACGGCGATGGGTCTCAGTTCTCCTACCATGCTTTGGGGTTGACGAATTCAACCGGGGATACCGACCAAAACCCGCAAGACCCAGATTGCTCCCGGGAGTGGAACAAATCATGATGTCAAACGGCAAATATCGTCATGACCGATCACTCTAACCTTACATAACCACCATCATGTATCACTTTCTATTTGCTATCATCTGAATCACAATCTTTGTTGGTTAAATTATCATCTTCATAAAGTAAATCCCGTATTTTGTATGAGATTTATGAGCCTAAAATCATTCTTACCGCTGACACCACCATTTGTTTTGGTATGTTTTGGTTGAAATCATGATTTTGGCTGGTGACACCTTCATTTTTCCTGCTTGAACCACCATGTTTTTGCTTAAACCACCATTTTCCTCGGGGTTCCACCCCCCCAAGTCCACCCCCACCATTTTCCAGCCAGGAAATGTCATGCCGAGGTACAAGAACCTGCACGTCCAGATCAGCTGGGCCAAGTAACTCGGTCGCCAAAGCCATGCTCTTCACCTGAGCGGTTCCACAAGGTGGTGCCCCATAGTTAGCTAAGTTGGTTTATAACTCCAATAACTATGGTTTATGGTAGATATATCTATAGTGAATGGGGTTTATAAACCAACTTATAACTGGGGGGCACCACCTTGCATCGAAAAATAGGCGATGAATCGGCAAAGAAAATCGTGGCTATAATTTAGGCGATAACGAGGTGTGATATGTTTAACTTGAGTTTTTATTGATTTTTCTGGGAATATATGAATGCACAGTTGAATATTCAAGTCGGTCGTGCAAAATGGTGGGTTTAACCACCAACAACAATGCGGAACAATGGTGGTTTAACCATCAGAAATGATGGTGTAACCATGGAGAATAGGCCAGAAAAAGAGGAAACTTGGTCATACACCATTTGGGAAAAAATCATAGATTTAACCAAATAGTGGGAATATATTGGGAAAAATTGGGACTTGAAACAAACTTAAATGAATCTAATCATCAATAGCTTTAACCAGTAAAAAAATGACTATACCGTCCAAGTGCCTATTTTGATGAAGAAATTGTGATTAAACAACTGGATGGAATGCTGGGTCGCTCTCGCTTAAGCTTGGTCTATGGTTTCAGGATGAAATGTGGAACACCGCATGAATATTGCCACATCTAGCTGGAGAAGAACCTTCAAATCTATCCGCAACGTAGCTATCTAACGTGGTAAGATGAACACCTTAAAAGTTCAGATGTTTTCTCCAAAGGCCAAGTTTCCAGCCAAGTGACAATAGACTCCCATGAGTTTTTGAACGCCCCACCACCTGCGAAAACAAAAACAAAACAAAAAACACACAACATCCGACTGATGACAAAGCCATGGGCCTCGAGAATTTAAACTAGATTCAGCTAGATGTAAACATTGCCACATTTGGATATCGTGCAAACACACATTCTTACTTCTTGAATTTGGTGTTCTAAACTTGTTAACTTTTAATATATATATAATTATATATATCGTATATATGTGTGTAAATATATTGACATTAAGTTCATATTAATCAACAGCCCAAAGTAATCAACACCCACATTTCAAAAAAACGTCTGGCAATAATACTTTGGGTTGGTCCCTCCCTATTACAGTAATAAACATGTGCGACACCCCCCCTACTAAACGGCACGATGCTCAGAAATCCTAATTTTGTGGTAATAACGATATAACGATGTTTTAATTGTTGAAAAAGTAATGTCTTGAACCCCATGGGGAGAGAGGTTGCCACTGAAAAGAGAAATCTCGTTCCATTGATAGGCAGGCTGGTTGTTTTTTACGTATGAGGGGGGACTCTTGCCTTCTAGGGGGGGTTGTTAATACGAACTTGGCATTACTGCAAATGATATATGCAAATAAATCCCCATTTAAGGAAACACAAAGAACACCGTAAACTACCAAACCAAGATTCATGCAAGACAGCAATGACATACTGCAATTATATCCATGTTGCGCTTAATTTTGAGGGATGTGCCATGCCATTGCCAGCCATGAACTCACGTATAGTGTGGAACATGGCAGCCCTTCGGACTTCCAGAATTAGTTCGACACATATTTGGCTGGTTGAATCATCATAAATCCACGGCTACCAGTAGCTTTGTCCCAACAACATCACCCAAAAAAAACATATACCCCTTTTTACATACATGTGTATATATATATATGCGCTAAAAACAAATATATGGATATGTGCATGAATATATACATACAATATACAATGTATAAATCTAATAATAAATATATATATATATATGTTATGTATATTGTATCATAAACATATGTATATACTACACATCTTTGGTTTGGAAAAAATTGTGGTTTCCAGCGTTGTTTTGCCCTACGCCCGTGCCTAAGGGCATCAGGAGAACTTTGCTCCTGCGTCCACTGCTGCGCGCCGCCTCGCTTGCAAGGCGTAGGGCTCCATGATACCTGGTCATTGAACCCCCATTCCTCATGAATGCAGCAAAGTAAGCCTCAAAAATGCAGAAAAAGTTGGATACGGATTAGCTACTATCTTAGTAGGATTCAAGTTTCTTGATCAATGTATTCCATACACCTATAGCTATTGAATGCCTCTATTCTACGGTCCCAAATATGTGTAACCCCCCCAAGTAAACCATGCGGATGGGCGGATGGGCAAAGCATTTTCTGACGCCGTACATTTCGCCTCGTGATAAACCTGGCAACTGAAGAAAATTAAACATCATCGGTCATCATAAAAATGTCATCCTAGCTTCATTCTGCAGTGTTGGCCTAATATCTTCCAGTACTCAGTACCAATGGATCCAATGATGTCCCCTTTTCTCAATGGGAGATCTTCAGGAACCTAAATTTTACTATTGGAGGTACCGATTCCATATATAAGGCCTATTTTTTGGCGCTATGTAAGGGGATATCCCCACAATTCATATGGCCTTATATGGTACAGTACCTCCATTTTAGGTTCCTGAAATGGCCATTGATTTTCTACTGCATCAAGAGGGGTACAATGGAAACATCTCAAGATATCTCAAGACATAGGCGATTGGGATACCCACACCATGACTTTGTTGATCCATGCTGATACCCTGCTGAAGCCTTTGCTTGGGAGCCGCAAGATAGGGTCCTTGTCGGTAAATGTAACTGTGAAAAACATATGGGCTAACACTTGGAATATGTTGGATTGATGAACACGATCCAATTTTTTGAACTTGTTGGAGGTCTCATGTTTATTTCCCATTCCCAACCAATTGGGATCATGATCATAATTGACCTTCATATTTTTCAGTGGTGATAAAGCCTCAAAAAATCTCCGGAGGCCACATATTACCGTCATGTGAAAAGAAACCCACGATGGTCGGGCGCTGAGTTTCTCTGAACAAAGGAGTATTGTACCCCGGCATCCAATGGTTGATAGATCAGAATTCCCAAGCAAAACCGCCATTTGGGAGGTATATACCCCATTTTCAGACACACAAATTACCCTCTGGTTATTTAACATAGCCATGGGATAGATGGCCCATTTATAGATGGTTTACCTATTAAAAGCATGGTGGATCTTTCCAGTTCGCTAACCGTTAGTCATAACCAGATGGTACATGAAATTCCATGGGTTAAGTCCTCAAAGCCAGCGCCACTTGCAGCCCGGCTTCTGAGCAACCAGGAAGAGTTCCGAAATCTGGCGCTGGAACTCGTGCCTGGCGCAGGTTTGGTAGGGCATAAAAAGGGCCATAGTTGGTACTATTATATGGGTATAACATGGTACAAGGTGGTGCCCCCCCCAGTTATAAATTGGTTATAGGCCCATTAACTATAGATTCATCACCTATAACTCATAGATATTGGAGTTATAAACCAACTTAGCTATCTTGGGGGCACCACCTTGTACAACCACGGAATTTACAGCCCGGTAAGTTGATGCAACCCCTATAAGTATATAGTGTTATAGTTATGTTTATCCACTTGTAACTGGAACTGCACTCTCCAAGTAGGATATATTCTAGATGTCTCATTGTTTTCATATTTCTTCATGTTACCCCCCCTCAAAAAATAAACATCACACAAATACCATGTGAACACAAGAAAATGGGTTTGTTCCAAGTCTGGGGGTCTACATCCCCCATTCCCTAAGGAGTGGAGTATGTTGATCTAGAAAAGCCACCATTCGTAGATCATTCTCTTGGGGTTTCCCCGTGTATGTTCCACATGTAAATGTCTACCTGGAGTAACCCTATAAATCGACACCAAGTTGCGTTTGAGCGTCTCCAAAGTCCTTGGCGACAGCGCCGATTCCGTTGACATAGGCGTTCACGGGCACTGCTGAAGCATAGACCTTAATGACTTAGTGGCTTCGCCAAAGATCTCCATGTGATACAGTGGAGATGGGCAACAGCATTTTTCTTTCGACTATCAAGGTGATTCACTGTGATTCATTCACAGATGCGACTGCAAATGTTCGAAATATCAAAGGATGGGGCCCGGGGCCAGCCAGATGAGCGGATCACCCTGGGACCCATCTGATCTGGGGCTCCCAAGTCTTCATAGACTCATGAAAGATGATACAAGGTGGTAGCCATAGCTAAGTTGCTTTATAACTGCAATAACTAGGGCTTATGGTAGACCTATCTGCACTTAATGGAAGTAACTATAACAAACATCAACGGAAAACTTTTCGAGCGACACCACTGCTGCCCGGTCACCAAATTGACCCGGTGACTTTGAGAGCAGAATTCCGTCCTGTCGGCGCCGCGGCTTGAGATGGGCTGGACATCCAGTGACGATCCCATCCACAGTAGCCTTCATCTGGTCCAAAGATCTTGCTCAAACCCATCTTTTTTTGGGGATTTACACCAAGATTTTGTGCTCAATATTGATTCTTAAGGTATATGTTGCTTGGCCTATGGCACCAATAAAATTGGGGTCCAAAGTGTCGGTTTACCCACTAAATACCGAATCATGTTTGCTTTACACTGCAATGACACCCATATGTGGATGTTTGTTGCCGTGGTTGATGAAATAAACCACCAGTCTGAGTTCGGGGCAAGTCATCAGAATTCACACACCTGAAACATATTTTTGTTGAATGATCCCCAGTTATAAGTTGGTTTATAAACCCCATGAAAACTATAGTTATTTACAATAAACCATAGTGAAATTGGAGTTCTTAGTTCACCCCAACTTGTTGCGATTTCGTGGCCACGGGGGCCCCAACGAGGGAGCGGCCTAAGTCCCCCAGCATCACCATCTCTCGTGGCCCGAGTTCGTGGATCTCTCGCATTCTTTGGTGTTTGAAACTCCGTTACCCTCTGGTGAACTAACATAGCTATTGAAAATGGTCATTTTTAATGGGAAAATCCACTATAAATGGCCATTATCATCCATGGATGGTGTGTTGATAATGATCAACATTGAGCGAAAAAACATTCATGATCAACACACCATCCATGATCATCCATAATCCAATTTCATTTACTCAACAATGGTGGAGAAAACCGCAATTAAATCCCCTTGAATCCCATAATATAAATCCGACTAAACCTACAAAGTGGGGCGCCTATAGATAGCTAAGTTGGTGAACATAACTCCAATAACTATGGTTTATGGTCCTTACAATTGCAGTATTCATGGGTTTCAACAGCCAACTTAGAATTGGGAGGCCCCACATGGTAGGATTCCACACTTAAACCTCCATCAAATCCCATTAAAACCTCCATAAAATCATAAAATCCCATTCAAGTCTTACCAACCCAACTAATCCACATTAACCCAGCCAGTTCAACCCAGCGTTTCCCCCGAAAAAAAACATCCACCGGGTCTTGTTTGGCGCAAGTCCCGCCGCCAGGGCGTCACGCATCAGCAGCAGCTGCAGCGCAGGAAGCGCCGCCGCCAGCGCCGAGATCGCCGTTTCAGCCACCTACGCCACGGATGACTGCGCTCTTTTTGTTAGGGGTAAAAATCTACGACCATCCCCAGGGGAACCACACACATATTATATGGATGTATGATGTATACATAGATCATAGGATATAATTAATGACAATTGATGATCCAATTCTATATATTGATCATGAATTAGAAAGTTAACCTATGTCAAGATAAACCTTTTGAATCCCTTTGACATACCCATCTTTTGGATGTTTCACCAAGTCTAGGCTGGTCTTTCGGATCATCTCCCACCTCATTGCTATCGGGTACCGGCATCTTCAAATAGCCGTTCACGACACTGAACCTCGATGTCTGAAACCATGGGACCATGGCCAGCTATTGGTATATGGAAACCATACATCTATAGTATATCTATTACGTATATCTATGGATGGTTTATATGGATGTAAAAATGGTGGATATATCCATCTAATTCCATATATATATATGGAGGTTTCCGAAGTCATGGGGGTACCCCCAGTCATCATCCATTTATAGATGGATTTTCCCTTAAGCATCACTTTTGGGGTACCACCATTTATGGAACCCCCATATTTATAATATGGTGGATATGAAGATATGTGGTGGCCAATCTTGGTTCACTAAATTCAAATTTCCATCAAGGATTATATAATCCGATCCACCGTGCAAATTGAATGGTGGACGTACATTATTTCAGCTGGTTGTTAACACAGTCAACACAAATGTCCGTGTTTCTGGCAGAAAGATTCAGTTCTACTACTACCCATCCTCGGTTTACCAATAACCAAGCCATGTGTTTTTGAAGTTCTGCAAAGTTGATTGTGGAATACATAGGGATTCAAGGTTAAGACAATCAGAGCCAAGAGCAAAAAAAACCAACACGGACTGACCATGACTACCGTGGACCTAATTGTATCATATCCACATGATTTCTCCGTGCAGGATGATCAAAGGTCCAGGTATGCAACATGCTGCAAGACAAGGGGCGACCACCATCACATGACGTCGTTCTGAACAATTTTGTGAACAAACTATCCTGATGTTGCAAAACTAGTGGCAAAACGGCCAGCAGAACGGTAACACCATTGACATGGCCATCTGCGCCAAAGACCCCCATGTTTTTTCAAAATCCTGATGTTTGATAGCTAAACTGCTATGGTTGACATTTTTTCAAGGTTAGATCATGATAAATCATGTTCATCTTAAACGGCAGAATCTTAAATCATGTTTTAAACAAAAGGATTTAAGATCATGTTTTCGGCTTTAATTTTAAACGTGCGTCTTAAATCTCGTTAAAAAATCATGGTGCAATGATACGCCTCGGAAATTCGGATCCCGGAAATTTTCGCCAGCACCATCCTGGCAAGGGGATCTGGTTGACATCCCTGGAAACACTAAGTCTGCAAAGTAGCTTATCCCATTTATAACTGGGTTAGTGCGTAAAACAATGCCATAAACGCGCCATCCCCAAATTTATCAGCATTTTTATAGGTGGTATAAACTTACCATTCCCAGTCATGGGTGGTAAACATGGCATTGTTTTAGCCACATTTTGTTTGCCAACTTGGTAAATGGAATGATCCTCCAAGTAATTAATCATTAATAACTATAGCCTCACCCATTTATAAATTATTAGTTAATAACTATAATTATTGGGGATAACCCATATCAATTAATAACTATGGCGCCTCACCCATTTTTAGAGGGGATAATCCACGAAACAAGTTGCGATCCGCGGGATGGTCTTCCAAATATCATATCCTTCATGACCGGTGGCAATGATTGTAATGGGCAATACCTAATGGACATACCCATGACGGATCCACGGTGCTGGTATATTAATGCTAACATGACTGGGGTATATTGATGGGATCCATGGAGCACCATATATAGCAGCACCATGGATCCTATGGGATATAATAACAAGCATAATAGTGGGAATTTACGATTAATAAACCTTGGTTTAGTTCACGTCAGTTAATTCAGTAGGGTAAGTAGGGAACATGTCCATTAAGCGATTCCTAGGGTGAACGAACCCACAGATCCTACAGTAATTGGGATGGGCCACCAAGTATGTCACCACACTTTGCCATATTCTTGCCTCCTTCCAAAAACAAAGAAGTCCATGCTAGAACATGTTCACTCTCTCCTATGGGTTGGTTCATAGTCCCCAATAAGCCAGGTAGGTTCCCAACTCCCTGTTTCATACCCAATCAACAAGGGTATGTTTTATGGCTCAATGGTCTTTGGATGTTTTGGGTTTCAACCGCGATTTGTGATCCGAGGGACATGTGTTTCTTGCTGCTGATTCCTCTCTCTCTCAACAGTCCATTGACCTTTCCTGAAGGCGACTGAGGATCCTCTTGGGAACCAGAAATCATGATTTGACAGGTGTCGTTTGTTATCCAAATTGGGGCCACTAGTCATTGAGGGTATGTACCACTGGATGGTTCTGTAGACTGTATGGAGAACATATAAATAAATTGGACAAATCAATCTATCTATCTTTCTATCTATCTATCTATCTAAAGAGAGAGAGAGAAAGAGAGAGAGTGGTCGAGGGGTCTTGTAGATAAACGATGGTTTTGTAGATAAAGTGGATGAATGAGGAATCGTGACCAGAGTGGGCAATGGAGTCATGGCGATCAATCACTATGTATTCACTGGGAATTCCAGGATCCTTTGATATGGAGGTACTGTACTGTATAAGGCCATATTTTGTGGGGATATTCCCTTACATAGGCCTTACATAGGCCTTATATATGGTAGGTACCTCCAATCAATCGGATCCTTGAATTCCCATTGATGCATCCATCACTGAAACAGAGATATCCATTGTCTACGAGGTGGTGCCCCATTGTTAAATCGCTAAACATAACTCCAATATTGGTCCAATAACTGTTGGGTTCTTAAGGTAAATGTCTCGATGATAAAAATAAACCATCTTCCAACTAATTTAAGATAGCTAATTCTTGAAAAATGGCAAATTATATAGTTGTTTTATGTTGTTTTACCTATCAGACATGGTGATGTTCCATCGCAAACTGGCCAAGTCACTCACCACTCGGCGTGTGGCATCGATACCACCCGGCCGACCTGGCGCATCGTGCCCCCGGTTGTGGGGTATGATTTTTCATGGGGAAAATGATGATAAACATTCCCTATGGATCCAAGTACCTTCCTATGATAGTGATATAGTACCATATATAGTATTCAATAATAGTTATATATGATTGTGAATTATCCCATTCCCTATGGATCCAGCCGTACCTTCCTAGGAAGTGGGACTGGGGTATGATTTAGGGGGTTAGCCGTACCTTCTGAGACAGTGTTTGGATCCATAGGGATTGATAAAACCCATGGATGTGTCTGGGTACATAAACCATGTTCAGACAAAATCAAGGCATTTAGCTCATTCCCGGTGATAACTATAGCTTTCAGTAGGGTTGGCCCAGTTATAACTGGGCCAATTAATACTCTACATATTGAGATGAAATTTGAAACAGAACCATTTTCATTGACGCACCATAGCTGGGCATGCCTGAAGACTCTCTATGGGAATCAAGAAATGGCAAGTCTCACATCCAAAAATGGAACACGTGGCCCTTAGATTTCTACATGCTATCTGACGTTTAATATGTTTTGTCACAAGACTCTGATAATTTGACCAAGAATCGGAAACTTGTCCCGAGATTCAGAGTTGTCGTCGTCGGATGTGCATATGGTGAAACCCATCAAACCAATGATGATACCGAGCAATTATATTGGTTCTACATTAGATCGGCAACTGCTATGGAGATGTGCAAAAGCTGCAGATAATTCATGAAGATAACCCCCATGTCGTGTATTGCTTCATCTGCTAAAGCCAGAGGGTCTGTCTGAAACCTTTTACAAGGGCCCAAAAGCTTGGGATCTATGGTAGATATGAATCTATAGTATCTATAATGGTGGTGAACCAAACCAAGAAACATAACTGGGGGGCCCACCACCTTCCATATATCTAAAGTTATGATCTATAGTATCCACAGTATCTATATCTATGTATCTATATGTCTGTAGCTATACCTATACTATCATACTATCTTCTATATATAATCTATATAGATATCTATAGTATAGCTATTGGGGGGCCACCAGCTTCCAGAAATCCTTCATCTCAGCCACGATCGGTGGAGCAATTGTCCAACAGGAACTGGGCGATGCCCGGATGCACTGCCAACTGCCCACACGGTCCACCTGGTGCCATGGCCATGGCAGCTACTCAATGGCCATTTCAGGATCCTAAAATGGAGATACCTACCATATATAAGGCCTATATAAGGGCTATGTAAGGGGATATCTCCCCAAAATATGGCCTTATATGGTACAGTACCTCCATATCAAAGGATCCTGGAATTCCCATTGAGCTACACGCGCCATGGCGGCTACGAACAATCAGAAGGTTCACCTAAGATTGGTGAATTCTCGGCTTGATTTTCATGGTTGATCATCATTGATCGCGAATATCCGGGGCATTATTATTACTGGTTGGGGGTTTCAACCTACCCCTCTGAAAAATCATGGAGTTCGTCAGTTGGGATGATTATTCCCAATATATGGAAACATCCATTAAAATCCATTAAAATCCATTAAACCACTATAATACATATTATTCCCATATGGAAGTCATAATCCATTCCATAAAATTCCATGGTTCCAGTCACCACCAACCAGATTACGTGAATCTTAGTGGCTTGATCGTAACATCACCAGATCTTCACGGCAGCTTTCCACAACGGCCTGTATGGTCGTACTTGTAATCCTCAACGCTTTCCACGATGGAACCTGGTCGCCATCACTGCCGGTGAAGAGCGGATCGGTATGATACTCGTGATTGTAAGCTGCTTATATACATATATTTATACATATACATATATATATATATATGTATATATATATATATATATATCTGATGTATGATGTATATGATAATACTGTATATATGTGTACTATAAGTGATATATTATAATTAACAGCCTCTTGACAGCCTCAGTTAAATCTGACTCCCTGGACCGAGCAGCAATGCGACGGAAACTCCACGCCGTTGAATTGCGATGGAAGCACCACAAAGGCTCCGGCATTCGCAGGATCTTGGATTTCTTTCATGACCTGGGAAGTAAACTGATGGGTAACTGGGGTAGAAATATTTGGCATCACGAAGATGTTGAATGTTACAGCAATGCATAATGAAAATCATAGTCAACACAAATCAGAACATGACATATGAAAACAACATCATCCAAAACAATGGCTACAGTACAGAGTCTCCGAACTTAACAAGTCACCGTTTATTGTATGCCTGAAAAAAAGGGTATCAAAAAAAATGATGGTGTCTAACCTCATGTTCCACCATGTTCCCTAATAAATGGTCATTTGAATGTTAATGTCTATCCTCCATGTTCGATGATTTTCGTATTCAACTCGGTGATTTTCAATGGCAAACTGCGACAGTTATTGCCGGAGTGTACCACCAGATCATGTGGTTCAGTAGTTAGCTATATTCCATTTACCCTCTGGTAAACGTTTACAAAAAACTAAGGAAAAACATCATGTTTAATAGGTAAATCAACTATAAATGGGCCATTTATCTCCAATTCAAGTTTATCAAATCCCATTGAATTCCCATTCAGATTGTATTTTTTTTGCACACAAAGAGGAAACAAAAAAAGCACCCTGCCTCAGAACTCAAAACACCCACAGAAGGCATAGGAACTTCTGCAGACCTCATGGAATCTCTATCATGGGCACTATGATTCCCAATTCATAGGGGGGATGACCAACAAAAACACTAAACATGAACAAACATAAATAAACAATAATCCCATATCAATGGCAAAATAGACATGAATAAACCAATGTTTTGAGCATGGGACACGTAGGAGTCAACCATTTTGAAAAAGTCATCTTTGGATCAAAAAAACTGGGGATATCTGTGGGATTCAAAAACTTGGAACTTGATCAACACTGATCTGAAAAATGTTAGTCAGTTGGGACTATTATTCCCAATATATGGAAAAATCAAAATGGTCCAAACCACCAACCAGTATATATATCCCGAAAAAAAAAACAAAAAAATGTAGCCTTTGTAACTAAACGATGGAGCCGAGCAGCTCAGGAAATTAGATTGCTAGACCACAAAACAAGGTGTGGAAATTGAAAAAGCACTCTACTCTGCCACCTAACGTTCGCCAACGATCAAACCAGTTTGCTTTGAAGAATTCACTCGCTGAAAGAAACAAATGGCATCCTGTTCCATGACCATTAAAATTAGAAGCATTCTCTGGTTGTTTAATGGATACATAATTGTCCATCTACGTCAGTTACCGGCTCACCCTTTCGGTCGTACCCAGAGTTTCCCGACCTGTCAACTGTGATGGGAGATTCGACGCAGGCGTGTGAAGAAAAATATCCAATCCTGAGCTGAACATCATCTGGTTGGTGGTTGACCTACCCCTCTGAAAAATGTGAGTTCGTCAGTTGGGATGATTATTATTCCCGATATATGGAAAGTCATAAAATTCCATGGTTCCAAACCACCAACCAGTCATCAAACTTCATTGAGAATTCCGGTCGCTTCGGATCTGTGAAAATAGTGAACACAGTTACCCCCAATCCTAAGCATCAGTTGAGTGTGCATCTCAGTAAATTGGCTATAAACCATATATTCTGACCCACTTGACCCCCTGCACATAGCCATGGAAAATGGCGGAAAATGGCCCACTTTATAGATGATTTAGCTGATTTAGCTGTTGAAAACTGTTGTGCGTCGTGACGTCGCGACGTGTCGTGAAAGCAACTGCACAACTGCGCAGTGGGGCAAATCTCAGCCAAAAAAAGCCACCAAAACGGAGTTCATGTTGAAAAACGTCAACAATACATCTATATATAATGTATGTATTATATCATGTATTATAATCATTATGTATTGGATACATTTGGATACCATTCAACATCCGCTGGTCTGTATTATGTATTGGATGCCATTCAACATCCGCTGGTCTATTATAGACATAATGTATATCATAATGTTGGGCTTACTCATCCGAAGCATCTTTGGTAATCTCTGGAATCTTTGACACCTTCCGGGACCGACACCGGCGCTCAAAGGCTCAAAGTCCTCCCATCATCGTTGACGGCATCGAGCTTGCCCGTCTGGACACAGAAGTGATACTCGCCTCCCTTCTCACCTTGGTCAGTAGATTTCTTGGAGAAATTTTCATAGTCTATATAAACATGTTTAAAACATGATGCTCAATTATATATACCCTCTGGTTATGACTAACATAGCCATGGTATAGATGGCCCTAATCGAAATAGATGGTTTACCTATTAATTAAACATGGTGATTTTCCATGGCTATGTTAAATAACCAGAGGGTGTATATATAATTATATATATATTATACATATTGTGTTTCCAAGAATTCCCCTTATCACATCTTATCACGACGTCCAGTTCCGACCTTCTCACGGCCCGCACGCACCGCGCGTTTTGACGTTTCGCTCGTGGGGAAAAAAAAATGGCATCCGTTTCGGGTGTCAAACCTGCTGGTGAACCACAACAAATCGTGCACAGGATATGGTTTTGGTTGATGCTTTTTGTGCCAAAGTTCCCCACTCATTTGTTGGATTTCATGAAATGTTATATATATATAATATGTTCATCAAGTTCCACATTTGTTTGTTGGTTTTCATATTATACATATATATATATATTATATACACACATACTATATATATAATATAATATATATATATACTATATATGGTCATCAAAGTCCACATTTGTTTGTTGCTTTTCATATGTTTTCATCCAACTTTCACACGTCGTTCCTGTTTGGATCCGAGGCACTCTCGCCCCGGTGCACCGCCAAGCGATATGGCCCGCTGCAAGTGAGGCTCCGCCTCTGGGTGGAGGTGGTTGGGTGCCAAGTTGTGTTTGTTCCCATAGGATCCATGTATGGTATATATGCTAACATTTGGGGTATATTGATGGTAAGTGTTACCATATATAGCATACATGGATCCTATGGGTTGGTTTATGAGATATAAAATATAAAACATGATATCTTCTGGATTTTCTGGATTTGTATAAAGATTATTTGTGCTGGGTATATCATGATCATGTTACATCATCACTTTTAAGCTGCCTTCAGCAGCCATGAATTGTATGGATTGACCCGAAGCTGTTCGTCCTTTCTTACCCCGGTCATCCGCCCGTGTCCACCTCTTGCCCTGGACTGCAAAAAAAGTGTCAACATGCACACTTTATGACGCAAATAAGTAGGGTCATCTATTGATAAAAACATTTATGTCAACTGCCGGTTGTTTGCGGCAAAAAAACAAAGTATGATAAAGTGATCAAAGACCGTGCACTTCTGGAAAGAGATCAAACCTTTCCCACTCAACAAGGCCTTTCTCCATCATTCTCCATCCCCAGCGGCCTGGAAAGGCAGAATTGCTCCAAGATATCCTCGTCATCCTGGTCTGTGAGAGCAATGGTAATATCTTTCAGCGAACCAGCTGGAAAATCTTTATCACCCCTGTGATCTTGGTCATGTTATATAAACAGAGTCCTGGAGTCCTGGAGACACAACCCAATGAATACCACGATGGTATCTGGTATCTCAATGATTGAGTTGTATATGGTTGTCCCATGTTATATCATCGCTGATCTTATAGACTCTGCCAACAAAGATGCTTGGAGATCAAATAGTCCAACGCAAAAGATGGTAACTTAAAGGATTTAACCAGCAATCAAGGCAAATAAATCACATATCCTATTCTAATATCGATTTCATAGAGTGAAATCATTTCCAAACCTCATCTCCGGCTTGCAAATTCATGTGAAGTAGATACATCCTTGGGCAAATGATCAGGAAACCACTTAAACTGGACCACTAAACCTCTTCATTTGCCTCAAAAAACGATTTTGCGCATGTACATACACCTGGCCCATTTCACCCGTAAGTCACCTTCACAGAAAAGAAGGTATAATCCAAGCGCAAGTTGTCCTTTCTTCTGATTATGTTCAGGTGAGAAGACCGGTATGACACACATAAAATGATGGTTCCCTGAAATTTGCAACTAGGCCTTTGAACCCGTTTCCCTTTTCCGTGGCACACAACCCTTTAAAAAGTCCGCATTGAGACCTACTTGGGCGTGTTTGAAATTGGGATATACCCCAAACATTGCCACGCTAATTGAGAATCTGTATGATAACATATAACACTACACCATCTTTTTTCTACGGCCACCCAAATCTTCAGACAAAGGCACCCTTTCTCCTCGGCCCATCTCCCCATTTTCTGCCACCGAGGCGCTCCTTCGGTGTAGCCACCACCTCAAGTGACTAATTGGGGTGTCCATTTGGCCCGCAGCGAAAAACCACCAAGTCAACAGTGATGTTTTCATGAAACTATAACCCATAGGATCCATGGTGCTGGTATATATGCTAACATAAAGGGGGTATATTGATGGGATCCATGTTACCATATATAGCAGCACCATGGATCCTATGGGTAAGGGATATTACAAGGGATATTAAATCACCATTCAACATATACCCCAAAAACGGCTTGGTTGACTCGAGAACTTTGGGGCCGGAAATTTGGAGACCATATATCGTGGAAGATAAGATTTCCCGTCACAGTATGTCACAACCCACTATATATTCTAATCATGTGTGTCTTCAGTACTCAGCATCAGTACAATCTTTGGTTCATGAACCCATTCAACTGACAAATATGTCCACCATTAACCCATGTGTTAGGCTACTTACACACCAACTTCATACAGCTTACCTATCATCCTAGGGGGCTCCACATGAGAGTTTCATAGATTATATCTCAACCCTGGAACAATACATCAAGTCTCATCGAAGTCCCACTTGCAAGGGCAATTTTCCAATGTGGGTGCACCAAAAATGGTAAGTTTGTGGACGCTATGTGATCGAAAAGCAACCTCCTACTAAAATGCCTTCATCAAACCTTTTTCTATACGCTTCTAATCACCCTCCAGTAAATTAACTTGTTGACCCTGAAAATCACCAATTTTTAATGGAAACTAGCCTTCCAACCCCTATCTGCCAGGCTTTCCAAATCTTTTCTAAAAACAAATATCTTTGTCTAGAGCGAGCATCCCCATTCTCCCAGCATCGTCCGTTATTGTTATGGCCATTTGGGGGTAATGGCATCACATGCCTAAATGGCCGGACGGTTGTCTTATCAACGAACTCATCAATGAACTAAATGGCCATGGCTTCAATAGCTATACATATATATATATATACCAAAGGGTATAAAGAGAATATATATATATATATATATCCCTCTATATATAATATATATATATCCCTCTATATATATATAATTATATATGTATATAGCAAACTGTAAAATTACCAGAGATTAAACGAACAGCTCCATCCAGCTTCTGCTCCACCTCTGCTGGCTCCTTTGGGCGGCCCTTTGGGTCCTTTGGAGCCCTTCATCTTGAGCCGTGGCTGCACCAACGAAAAGTGCGTGAAATGGTGAGAAATGGTGAGGATTACCCTCTGGTAAACTACCATAACTATGGAAAAGCACCATTTTTTATGGGAAAACCCACTATAAATGGCCATTTTCAATAGCTATGTTAAATTACCAGAGGGTACCGGGAACCAATACTGAACAATGCTGCTTTAAGCATGTTTAACCATCAAACATGGTGAAAGATGGTGACTGAAGCTTCAAAAAAGGGGATCTCACCAATGAACAATGGTATATGGCCAATCTTAAATACCATGCAAACCAATGATGTTTTAGCTGTTTTTTGAACATACATTGAGTATACTGGCATTTATGTGGCAAAAGAGTAAGCTGTATGTACCTATCCCAGATTTACCAAGTTAAAGGCATATTTATCAGGGAGAAACTGAACAGTAATTTTGTATGTGTTCCCTAAAATTCAGGTCGTGGTTTGGGTCTCAAATAGTTTGATTGTTTGAACAGGTCTTAAAACAAATCTTGGCAATAGATGTATTATTAGCTTCCTGAGTTCAAGTGATTGACTTTGCATATGGCTCAAACTTGTGTACTCAACAATCATATGGTTTACCAGAAACAATATCACCCTAGTCGAAATCTGCAGTTCCCTGAACAATAATTTTCCAACTCCGGATTGATAAACCGTGGATCATCAAGTGAAATTATAATTTACTACGTTGGTTCAATTCATGAATCAGGGTGCATTTGTCTGTGGTTCAGATTAGATGTCCATTTAGCAAGTGTTTTATGACCCATACTCACCAGTAAGCTAGCATAGCTATCCATGTTTAATGGATAATTCATCTATAAATTATAAATGGGCAATTTTCTAATATTTTCCATAGCAACCTGATAAATTGCCGGAGGGTAATACAACGCATTCTTCAGGAGTCCTAGTCGTCCAAGACGCCTCACTAGCCACGGTGGCTGCTTCCCTGAAATCGGTGCCAACAATCTCCTGCTGCGTGGGCCGCTGGGCTAACCCAAATTACCCCAAGCCAATACGTGATATACATGGCCATTTCAACAGATGTTGAATCATCCTTTGGGTTGTTGGAATGGAGAAGCTTTCACACTTTTCACCCGTATCACCATAGTTGCTGGTTATATCTATATCATATTCCATTCTCTTCCATGATTTTCTGCTGATTCTGCTTCCGAAAAACCAACCTTGACCTTCAAAACCTCCGCAATGCGTGCACAAATCTCCAAAACCTCCACATGTTCCCACTATTAAAATCAGAAATCCTGCTCATCTTCCACCGCGACGATTTATACTTGGGGGATCTTGGGGGTGCGTTATTTATTTTTTTGCGTTCTTCATGTACAAAGACCATGCTTATAACATGTTATAACTTATATAACCCTCATAACTTGGGATATAACCTGATATAAAACAACATAACTTTGGATATATAATCTTATATAACCCTCATAAGTTGGCTAAAAAAGAAAAACCTGGCACTTCAGTGGACAAAAAAAAAACGCGCCGCCTCAGGTACTTCGGGGATGGGATCTGGGAGTCCTCGGTGGCTTCGGGTGGGATGGCCATGGCTCCAATTTCACGATGGTTTATGGTACCTATATAACTATAGTTAATTAATGGGGTTTAGAAACCAACTCACATCACTGGGCCCCACATTGTACTGCTATATATATATATATCAGTGTACTATATATATATATCTTACCAGATATTATAGGATAATCTATATGATATAATATGATATAGCATATATATAATATATATATATATATATAAACATGTCTCTCAGTAGTCCATATATATATATCTGCTATATCTGCTATGGATTCTCACAGTTGACATGATCCGCCAATGGGATGACTGATGAGTGATGACAGGCCAGGAAAAACGTTGAAGCCCCGAAATCCAATAGATTGGCTAAATAGGGAATAAATGTGTTAGGGAATTTCCCATTACCATCTGGTTCTGACTAACAAGCCATGGAAAGATCCACCATGCTATTAATAGGTAAACCTCTATAAATGGGCCATTTTCCATGGCTATGTTAAATAACCAGAGGGTAAATCGGATGTTAAGGTTGAGGGAATGTTAGGGCTATTTACTGATCATTCAGCCAACCATTCCCTGTATTCCTTTAATGGGTTTTAGCATGTTTTAGTATTTTTTCAAAGCGTTCCGAAAAAAAAAAAAAACATACGAAATCAACGATTTTGCGATCATCTTCAAGCAATCTATGAACCAACTTCTGGGCAAATGACCATCAGAGCTCCCAACGCCCCCAGATACAAGATGATACAAGTTAGGACAACTGGAGAAGAAAACAATAGTTAACAATAGTAAACAATATTCATCTATCCCCCTTATGGCTCACCTAGGTGGTAAACCCATGGAAACCCCATAAACCCCTGGCGTACCTTCGATGCCACACAGAGCTTGAGCCAGGGCGTCCTGGCAATTTTTGCGGGATGGGTCACCATGACCAGCCAGAGATGCACCGAAAGTTTGGCTTAAGCCAAAGATGGAGATTTCCAACCAAAGAAAGTCCTGAAATAATTGAACAATATACTACATATATATATAATATTATACATATACATATATACTATATATATATATTTATATATATTTCTATCATATATATATATACACTTTTTCACGGATTCTTCGATGTTCCATTCTGAAAATGGCGAAACTCCACCCATGAAGCAACCATCTCAAGGTTCAGCGCTCCTGCAGCTGGGACACGTCGCCCAAGCCCTGTCAGGTTTTCCACAGCACTCTCAGAAGGAACAGATTTATATGGCTATGCTTTGTGATGAAAAAACGATCATGGCACGTTTAAACACATGGTTTCCAAACTCTTTCCCGTAGATGTTCCGTGGAAATCAACCCAATGAGCCACAAGTGTTCTTTTCAATGATTTGATGTAGCAGTGGTTCAGTCTGGGGTTTGGATTCTTCATCCCATCATCATACAAGGTGGTGCCCCGTGGTTAGATACTAAGCACTTACGATTCGTGGGATGATCTTTCAAGTAATAACCAAACATTAATGATTGATTGACTAATGATATTACCCTCCAGTAAATTAACATAGACCCTGGTAGATAGGGGTTGGAAGATTAGTTTCCTCTAAAAATTGGCGATTTTCAGGGTCTATGTTAATTTACCAGAGGGTAATATCCCCATTGGTCATATCCCCTGAAAATAACCATTAATAACCACCCCCTGAAAATAACCAACATCGTGAAAAAAAAAAACGTGAACATATGCCATTTATCAGCACTAGTCAGTAGCCATATGGCAATCATTATCACCAATAAGTGGTTAACTAACAACCATTGTTAACCCTTGATAACCAATACTTAAGTGGTTATGATCATTCTACATGTGTTTGGTTATTTACAATTGTAACTTGTAACCATCACGATCACTATCCTATTATCATACAATTTATATATATATCCTAGTGATTAAGCCATATAAAACCATACTCAACTAGCATCAAACCTTCATGTTTATAAAGAATACTTATAACCATTATATATATATAATAACAAATGGTATTCATCTAAAACCATTTATTACCGTCAATATTCATTTATTGGTGGTTATCTGGAGGTTTCCTGAAATGGGGGTACCCCAATAGCTGGATGGTTCATTTCATGGAAAAAACTGGAAATAACATTAAGTAAAATGGATGATTTAGGGATACCCAAATTAATAATTACCAGTCCTAACGATTCGTAAACCATTCATAAACCATTATTCATACCATTCCTACCATTCCTACCATTTATAAGGTCTTCAGTTATAAAATCAAAATAGATGATTTGGGGATACATCAACAACTTATAAACCATTCCTAGCATGTCCTAACCATTTTCGGAAATCTACCCTTACCATTTATAAACCATTCCTTTACCCATTGACACCCGACCCAGCCACCCAGCTATCGCCTGCGGCGTGGTCGGCGCTGGTGCCGCTGGTGCCGCCGGTGCCGGCGCCGGCGGGCTGGCGGAGTAGGCCATGTCAAGGCTGGGCCTGGCGTCCAGTTCAGACTCATATCCCTAAAACCACATTAAATCCACATTAAATCAACATTAAATCCACATTAAATCCACATTAAATCCCACTTAATCCCATTGTATCAGCCATGAAATCGCATTAAATCCACATTAAATCCACATTAAATCCACATTAAATCCCACTGAATCCCATTAAATCCACATTAAATCCACATTAATTCCACATTAAATTCCTCTGAATCCCATTGTATCAACCATGAAATCCCACTAAATCCACATTAACTCTCATTAAATCCAATCAAATCCCATTAAATCCACATTAAATCCACATTAAATCCACATTAAATCCCACTGAATCCCATTGTATCAACCATGAAATCCATTAAATCCACATTAACTCTCATTAAATCCCATCAAATCCACATTAATTCCACATTAAATCCACATAAAATCCACATTAACTCTCATTAAATCCCAATAAATCCCATTAAATCCACATCAAATCCACATTAAATCCCATTAAATCTACATTAAAACCACATTAAATCCCATTAAATCCCATTAAATCCACATTAAATCCACATCAAATCCACATTAAAACCACCTGCATTAAAACCACATTAAATCCCATTAAATCCCATTAAATCCACATTAAATCCCATTAAAACCACATTAAATCCCATTAAATCTACATTAAAACCACATTGAATCCAATTAAATCCCATTAAATCCACAATAAAATCCCATTAAATCCCATTAAATCACATTAAATCCACATTAAATCCAATTAAATCCCATTAAATCCCATTCAATCCACATTAAATCCACATTAATTCCGCATTAAATCCACATTAAATCCACATTAAATCCCACTGAATCCCATTGTATCAACCATGAAATCCCACTAAATCCACATTAAATCCACATTAAATCCACATTAAATCCACATTAAATCCACATTAAATCCCATCAAATCCCATTAAATCCCACTAAATTCCAGCCTTTCCACCTTTGTTTGGAGCCTGGCCTGCTTCGGCTGGGCGGGAGCTTCTCCAAGGTGGAGCTCCTCTCCGGCCGATCACCTCATAGAACATCAGAGGGGGGTTGGAAACATGTCAAAACCCTATGAAATCCCATAGAAAAAGCTATTGAAAATTGGTTTTTAATGACTTTTTGATGGGAATTTTATGGGATTTACCCTCTGGTAATTTAACACAGCTAATTTAGCACAGCTATGAAAAAAATGACCATAGAAATAGTTGATTTACCCGTTAAAAATTGTGATTTTCCAAAGTACAATTATGAGATACCCTCTGGTAAACGTTTACATAACGATGGAAAGATCCACCATTTTAAATAGGTAAATCAGAGGGTATATAAAAGTTGATTATATACTGGTTGGTGGTTGACCTACCCCTCTGAAAAATGATGGACTTCGTCAGTTGGGATGATGAAATTCCCAACTGAATGGAAAGTCATAAAACTCCATGGTTCCAAACCACCAACCAGATATGCAACCCATGGTGCTGGTATATTTACCTAGCTGGGAGATTTTCTTCGGGCAAATGTTGGTCAATATTCCGGCATCATGGTGAATCCCAGATCAATCACCATCTTTTGTTGAGTCATCAAACTACCCTCTGGTAATTATACAAAAAGCTATTGAAAATGGCCATTTATAGTGAATTTTCCCATTAAAAATGGTGGATCTTTCCATAGTTTTTTGTATGTTTACCAGAGGGTATGTTTCATGAAATTTGTCCGAGTCGGGGATGGCTTAGAAACCTCTGAAATAGACTTCGTGTTGAGAAAGACGAATCGTGGGGGATCAACATCGGTCAATCCCGAGAATGACGGAATCTCCATGGCAAATGATCATTGCCAATCTTAGATACCCTGCAAATAAATAAATTCTTTAATTAGTAGATATTCCCATTAACCATTGGAATAGATTATTCCTGCAATCAGCTGATTAGTAGATTTTAGTAGATATTCCCATTAATACCAAAAGATACCAAAAGACTAAAGGATTAGTTCGTATCCATGTAAGATTGACCTAGTGATGGGTGTGTCCAGCATATGTAGAAAAATACCAGGTGAAATCCAATGTGTTCCTCCAAAGATGGAAATCGCAATGGCTCAGTGATGGGAAGAATGACGGTAATTCTACAATGTGAGGCCCCCGTTGGATAGTTAAGTTGGGGTTCACATAACTCCAATTTCACTATGGTTTATGGTACGCAAATAACGAACTAGTTACTGGTGCGAATCTAAACCAACCAACATCACTGGGGGGCCTCACATTCGATATAATTAAAGTGTGCAGTGTGCTTTTCACAACCAAAACATAGGTGGCATCGGTGGAGGTTTCAAACATGATATCATAAATGACTGTATTTTTAGTAGCTCAAAAACAGTATTTTTAACCAAATTTAGCTATTTTTAGCTTTATATGTTTATTGATATCCTACCCAAATGGTGCATAAAACTAAAAATCACTGTGGCTCACCTATGTAATATGATGGGACTTGCAAAAGCTGATCGTTTCTGGCAAAAAGGAGCCAGTCCCCAAAGGTGCTATGTAGAATGATATAGCCAACGTAAGTGAAACTCACGCCAAAAAAAAAAACATCCATATTGCTCGCAAACAAAATAGACACGTAGTTCCAGAATGGTATAGATGATGCTTCCCCATAAATTTTCCGGTTTGCAACTGTTCTATCCTTTTTGGGGAGTGCTTAAATGGAAGCAACAAACATGATGATTGTTGCCTTGCCTTGATGATATACCATGATGGTTTTACCATGATAATGATATACAGATACCATGAAAAAAATAATAATTTTGCAGCGATAATGATATACCATGATGGTTTTAGCATCCCAAATCGCACAGAATCCACAGAATCCACTTGCGGATGCCAGGCAGTGTGCAAGCGCTGGCACAGGCCTTTCTTCAGGTGATATCTCCATGACGTGGGATCACAGTAGATCAAAATCTGCTACCATTTGATATTTGGAAGGGATCAAACATCAATCAATTCCAGTTTTTTGGGTGTGTACAGGGGATTCCATGGGAGTTGACTCATAGCCGTGGATGTTTGTCGCCAGATGATTTTTTCTCAGAGGGTACGTACCCATAATTCCGTTGGATTGTCATCATTTGTCCTAATAAAGAAGGACGGTTATATTACCCATCTTCAAACACATGCAGATCCACTTTTCGTTATATAATCAACTCCTTATGTTTCATTGTTCAATCAACATTAAACCAACATGTCTACAGATTTTTCATGGTTGAATCGCCTTGAACATCATTGAACCGCCATAAAATCTCAACAAACATCATTAAACATTAAACCATCATAAAATCCCATTAAACATCATTAAACCACCATTTTCAACCCACCTTTTTCAAAATCATCCCCCCATCTTTCAGGGCTGCCAGGTCACAACTCACGGACCTCAACCATTGCGCTGGGCTCCTGGCTGGCTTTCGTTCATGGTGATAGATCTCACACATTAAAAGTGATAGGAAAAACTGATCGGATTTAACACATTTCTATAACTGTTTGGTGGTTGACCTACCCCTCTGAAAAATATGAAAGTCAGTTGGGATGATTATTCCCATATATTATGGAAAAATAATTACTTTACTTCGTGTGATCCCCACCATGACATTTATACATTTTCTTACTGGCAAATCTTCTGGCATTCTATCTGACATATCTTCTGACATTCTATTTGGCATTCTATCTGGCATATCTTCTGGCATATCTTCTGGCATATCTTCTGGCATTCTATCTGGCAAATCTTCTGCCATTCTATCTGGCATATCTTCTGGCACTCTATCTGACATATCTTCTGGCATTCAATCTGGCATTCTATCTGGCATATATATCTGGCATATCTTCTGGCATATTTTCTGGCATTCTATCTGGCAAATCTTCTGGCATTCTATCTGGCATATCTTCTGGCATATTATCTGGCATTCTATCTGGCATATCTTCTGGCATATATTCTGGCATATCTTCTGGCATTCTATCTGGCATTCTATTTGGCATTCTATCTGGCATATCTTCTGGCATATTTTCTGACATTCTTTCTGACATTCTTTCTAACTTTCTTCTGCACATTCTTTGTCCCATATCTTCCTACATGAGGTCCGGCAGGGAACACTTGGCGTGGATACTCGCGGTTGAGGTCCGGCAGGGAACACTTGGCATGGATACTCGCGGTTGAGGTCCGGCAGGGAACACTGGGCGTGGCTGGTCGTGGTTGAGGTCCGGCAGGGAACACTGGGCGTGGCTGGTCGTGGTTGAGGTCCGGCAGGGAACACTGGGCGTGGCTGGTCGTGGTTGAGGTCCGGCAGGGAACACTGGGCGTGGATGGTCGTGGTTGAGTCCGGCAGCGAACACTGTGGATCGCGGGTCGCAGTTGGACGAGGACGACGAGGACGACGAGGACGACGAGGACGACAAGGACGACAAGGAGGACGAGGAGGAGGCAGGAGGCAGGACGAGGCAGGAGGCGGCAGGAGGAGGAGGCAACTGACATAAAATCTAACAACCCTCACCTGGCAGGTGGGGAAAAAATGATCCAAACCACCAACCAGGACCAGAGATTTACCCTCTGGTAGATAGACAAAAAGCTGTTGAAAATGGCCATTGAAATAGTGAGTTTTCCCATGAAAAATGGTGGATCTTTCCATAGTTGTTTGTTAACGTTTACCAGAGGGTAACACATTTCTGGTTGGTGGCGCAATAACCATCAAAAGTGGGGATAAATCATTGTATCAACAATGTAACTATCATGAATATCTGGTTGGTGGTGCAACAACCATCTTGAAAAATATGAAAGTCAATGGGAAGGATTATCCCATATATTATGGAAAATAGAACATGTTCGAAACCACCAACCAGATCCTATAACATCTATAGCCTATAGTCTATCAGTTTTAAGTAATACTGATCCCGCAGATGTGATAAAATTTTGTAAAACTACTTGGTCACCTGGTCAGTTCACGTACTGCACATGAAGAAGTGCAATACTTGTATCAAAGGATTGGATTAAGGGAACATGTTCGGCGGAAACCTTAGTTTTCACCTCCAAACATACAAGTAGGGGTTTCCCTGCAACCAAATCCGGGAAAATATGGAGAGCCGGTTCTTACATGATCGGGGCGGACAAGAAGAGGCAAACTGGTTCCCCCTTGTCCATTGCGACTTGACATTCTGTTTTTTTTTCATTGGTCAATGCGCATGTTGATCATCACTTCGATTGATAGTAACCCCCAGTTATAAGTTGGTTTATAAACCCCATTAACTATAGTTATAAGTACAATAAACCATAGTTACTGGAGCTACAGTATAAACCAACTTAGCTATCTAGGGGGCCCCACATTGTAGGAATTTGACGTTCATCTTTGTGGGGGTTGCTATCGTCTATATAGTGAGATTCCTGCATCAAAATGATTACTGGTTGGTGGTTGACCTACCCCTCCGAAAAATATGAGTTCGTCAGTTTGTATGATTATTCCCCATATATGGAAAAATAAAACATGTTCCAAACCACCAACCAGATTACCTATTCTTATCTATACCTGCATTTTTTTTTGGAAAACAATACCTGCAAAAAGAACATGTTGTTGCAGGATAGGACCCTTCCCAATGGCAAAAAATGGTCGCCTCGGAAATATCATCATCCATCCAGTCGGTGACCCCAGTTTGATAAGCATATATACCTAACCTACATCCCTTTTTTCCGCTGGTAAAATAAAAAATGAGTCCCTCTTCGAAAGGGGCTAAATCCTAATTTCAGTAAAACTGCATCTATAGATCTAAGTGGCGTTTTCAATTCCATCCTGCCCTTTCCCCAAAACTAAACCAAACCACATGGGACACAGTGCTTTTGGTTATATTATTTAAGTAAACATCAGGCAAGCAGTGCTCAAAATGCCCTGTCATTCCATGAAATATCCTGGTTGCCAAAGGAGGGGATTCCAAGTTACTGTACGATGAAATTCCAAATTAATAAAGGATCTAAAAAGACACAATCATCAACCAATCATTATTTATCAACTATCTTTTCCCACATTTACATATATATATTTCCGGGTGAAAATCCAGATTTGATGGTTTGAACCCACCCGGGAACAAAACAAAAACAACCAACCACCCATCAACCCCGGTCCCGGAAGCCCTGCCAGGTGCAGCCTTGGTTTATTGGAGTTCATCCATGAAACATGTAATGTGAGTAGCACAATGCCATGTTTACCACCCATTTTCCTGGGAATTGTTTATATATACCACCAAAAAAAAAAATATGGTGATTCTTTTTGGGGGGATGGTATATCAGTGTTTTATATATATACCACCTATATACCACCTATATACCACCTATCATTTTTATTGATTTACCCATCGAAAAAATCAGTGTTTTTCCACCATCTCTGACCAAACTGAGCGCTGAACCTTGGAGCGAGAGGAAGTCCTGCGTTCAGCGGAAGACGATTTGGCGCATTCTGAGCCATGGTTTTTACAATGTGGGGCCCCAGTGATGTGAATGTTGGTTTAGTTGGTTTATAAACCCCATGAAAACTATAGTTATAAGATGTTATTTGCGTACAATAAACCATAGTGAAATTGGAGTTATGTGAACCCCAACTTAGCGATTTCGTAAACGGGGGACCCACATTGTACCCTCCGGTATCCTGAAACATGGCTAAACCATGCTAAACCTGAGGTAAATTGTAGTCTTAGTTCGAAAGTCCTCGAAGTAAATGGGATGTAAATGGCAGAATTTCATAGATTTTCCAGCTAGCAAAAGTGATTGTGGAGGAAATGCTTCTGGCATGTTGGCTGAATGTGGTTGGGAAACTCTATTCGTAGCTCCGGCTCCCCACTGAACAGGGAAGGCGGATACAACCACAAAAAATCTCCCTTCACCGTTCCCTCCAAATCCCACCGAATAGTACTCATCATCAACTAACCATCATTTATCAATCATGATCCTCATAGTTTTCACGGTTAAAACACCTTGAAACCCATTGCTTATCCGCCATATAATACGCCCAGGATTTGTGACTTATGATAGCATATACTACTGCATAATTCATCCCTATTTTGGATAGAAAACAACAATAGTCTTGTCAAAACCAATCCCCATAAAAAGAACCACTCGGGATTTAAAACAGCCCAAATGTATATAGTTTGAAGCCTCATTAAATCCACATTCATCCCCAGTAAAATCCCATTCAAGCCTATTCAAAACCCATTCAATCCCCATTAAAATCCCATGAAATCCCATGAAAATCTCATGAAATCCATGAAATCTTCGGTGCTGTCTCAATTTTTGCTGCTCCTGAGCCCCAGTTCCGAGCGGATGGACTCGGCTCGGCTGCCGGGTGGCCCGGGCGGCGGCATCTTCTCGGCGCCGGACCTTGGTAGATCTTGGTGGTGTTTCATGGCCTATTTTTCAGGGAAAAACTAGACGACGGATGGCCCGAGAGCGTAGAGGAGCAGGGTCTTCTCTTGTTAGTATGGAGATGCAATTTTAGAAACGGTATATGAAAGCTGTGTTATAGGCAGTCGAGAAGAGGAGTATCAAGACAACATAGTGAGAAGTGCAAGACAATAGTTTGCATCGCAAACACTTTTACACACAGACGCTTTTACACAGACGCTTTTACACACTAAGCTTTTACCCACAGAAGCTTTTACACACAGAAGCTTTTACAGACAGAAGCTTTTAAACACCTCTAAGCTTTTACATACAAACACTTTTACACACAGACGCTTTTACACACAAACGCTTTGACACACAGACGCTTTTACACACAGACGCTTTTACACACAGACTCTTTTACACACAGACGCCTTTACACACAGACACTTTTACACACAGACGCTTTTTCCACACAGACACTTTTTACACACAGACGCTTTGACACACAAACACATTTACACACAGACGCTTTTACACACAGACGCTTTTTACACACAGACGCTTTTTACACACAGACGCTTTGACACACAAACACATTTACACACAGAGGCTTTTACACACAAACGCTTTTACACAAACACTTTTACACACAAACACTTTTACACACAGAGGCTTTTACACACAGACGCTTTGACACACAGACGCTTTTACGCACAGACGCTTTTACACACAGACTTTTACACACAGAGACGCTTTTACACACAGAAGCTTTTACACACAGACGCTTTTTACACACAGACGCTTTTACACACAGACGAAAGGGTTGCTCCGGCACAGAAAAAATCGCAATTTTACCTCAGTTTCTACCGATCGACCCTCATTTCGTGCGAAAGGGTTGTTCCGGCACAAGTAAAATCGCAATTTTACCTCAGTTTTTGCCGATCGACCCTCATTTCGTGCGAAATGGTTGCTCCGGGGCAAGTAAAATCGCAATTTTACCTCAGTTTTTGCCGATCGACCCTCATTTCGTGCGAAAGGGTTGCTCCGGGGCAAGTAAAATTGCAATTTTACCTCAGTTTTTGCCGATCGACCTTCATTTCGTGCGAAAGGGTTGCTCCAGGACAAGTCAAATCGCAATTTTACCTCAGTTTTTGCCGATCGACCCTCATTTCGTGCGAAAGGGTTGCTCCAGGACAAGTCAAATCGCAATTTTACCTCAGTTTTTGCCGATCGACCATCATTTCGTGCGAAAGGGTTGCTCCAGGACAAGTCAAATCGCAATTTTACCTCAGTTTTTGCCGATCGACCCTCATTTCGTGCGAAAGGGTTGCTCCGGCACAAGTCAAATCGCAATTTTACCCCAGTTTTTGCCGATCGACCCTCATTTCGTGCGAAAGGGTTGCTCCAGGACAAGTCAAATCGCAATTTTACCTCAGTTTTTGCCGATCGACCCTCATTTCGTGCGAAAGGGTTGACGTTTCGTCACTCGCCGCCGGCACCACCCTCGGCCTTAAGAGAGAAAGATAAAAAGAAGGCGTGAGAGAGAAGGTGAGCAGGTGTGAAGATAAGAAGATGTGAAGATGAGCAGATGTGAAGATGAGCAGATGTGAAGATGAGCAGATGTGAAGGTGAGCAGATGTGAAGATGAGCAGATGTGAAGATGGGAAGGTGTGAAGATGAGCAGATGTGAAGATGAGCAGATGTGAAGATGAGCAGATGTGAAGATGAGCAGGTGTGAAGATAAGAAGATGTGAAGATGAGCAGATGTGAAGATGAACAGATGTGAAGATGAGCAGATGTGAAGATGAGAAGATGTGAAGATGGGAAGGTGTGAAGATGAGCATATGTGAAGATGGGAAGGTGTGAAGATGAGCAGATGTGAAGATGAGAGGATGTGAAGATGAGAGGATGTGAAGATGAGCAGATGTGAAGATGAGAGGATGTGAAAGTGAGAGGATGTAAAGATGAAAAGATGTGAAGATGAGAGGATGTGAAGATGAGAGGATGTAAAGATGAAAAGATGTGAAGATGAGAGGATGTGAAGATGAGATGTGAAGATGAGAGGATGTGAAGATGAGATGTGAAGATGAGATGTGAAGATGAGAAGATGTTTTACAGACCCCCACTATTGGAAGAACCCTGCGCTCAGACGCTCTCGGGAAAAATGATGGTTGGTAGCATTTAATTGGTGATTGATGGGTGGTACGTTAACATACATTCACGGCTCAAAGATGTTTGTAATTTAACATAGATATGGAAAATGATCCATTTATAGATGATGAAACCTATTAAATCCTATTAATCGTGCTGATGTTCCATAGCAACCTGTTAAATTACCAGAAGGTATCCATCAAAACATTGAACATCATTATATGTTAATTGTATTATATTCTAGTCCTTTGCTAGTCCTTTGGATTCAGAGCTGTCCAAGTTTCGGACGAACCCAAACTGAGATTTTCCTGACATATATATATAATATATATATATTATATATATATATTGGGATTCATTTCAGCACCCCCAAAGTGTGAAACACTCATAAAAACTCCGGGGTTGGGAAGCTGGAACCAACAATAACATAGAATTTGTTGCTTTCCGGATTGTTTGGAAAACGCAACAAATGCGGAATATTCTTTACCAATTCAGGAAACGTGTTGTGATGATATTGATAGTCACTATTATTCACGATATTTTTTCACCTACATTAAGCATCAATGAAGACTTGTGAACCGAACATACCAAGTCATTGTTTTTCCAGTAATTACATTCCCAAGGAATCATTGCTCTTTAAAGCTTGGATATCCAATGATTGTAGCTGTAGCACATAGCCATCACCTCGCATCAATCCTTCACCAAGGTTTGCCCAACGAAACGCGATTGGAACGAAGGGCGACAATCCGATCTTTTCAAGCGATTGGAGGAGGGTTTCAACTTGAAACAATGGACCCTGCAACTTTGGCAAGGCTGAAAGGCTGAAAGGCTGTCATACTTCCGGAGGCAGTTCAAGCAAGAACCTGACTGGAAAAAAAAAACATAGGTTTCAAAGACTGACTTCAAAACTGGTTTTAAAGCCATGCGAACAAAATCATCCACAATTACTACACAATTACACAATAGTTGGACAGATGTTGGAACCTGTTGGAAAATGTTAAAAACCGTGAAACACACCATGAACTCAATCTAGTCCCTGCGCTTGGGGGATTTCAATCATATTGACACAAATCCCCCAGCCCGCAAACTGCAAGCTGCGACCCTCTCATGCTAAATCTTCCTGGCTGCCGGCAACGGAAGCAGCTATTTCAGCAAAGCAACCAACTTAAATCACGTGGCCGTTTGAGATTTTGGCCATGGGTCAATCCGATCCACCATTTTTGAAGTAAAGACTCAAGACTATTCTGTTCATTGGGGCTGGGAACCATATGGGTACCAGGCTGAGAAAACCCGGTTCCCATCGGTTCCCGGTGTTGGGATGCTCCTTCTCCTCGTCTCCCAAAGGGTTTTCTCCTCCCAGGGTGAAACCATAGTCCAGCAGAAAGCGTTGATTCCTGTGGCCAAGTTTGAACACGAAAAAACCTGCCCCCCAATGATTAAGTTGGCCTATGTTACCCCCATGTTGGCTAATTCGATATATAAACATCATATATATATATATATATATTTAGAGAGAGAGAGAGTGGTCTTGAAATGGAATCTGGACATATGAACAAAACTCATGAAATTGGGAAAATGGTTGAAAATCACATATAAAATATAGGCAAACATATTCTATCTACTTCAGGATAATTACCCTCTGGTAAACTAACATAACTATGGAAAATCACCATTTTTAATGGGTAAATCCACTATAAATAGCCATGTTCAATAGCTATGTTAGTTTACCAGAGGGTACATCAAACCCAACATATACCAACAGTATTGGAGTTATTAACTTTACCTTGGGGGACAGCCCAGGCTGCCCAGTTTCGCTGAGACTCCCCACGGGTACTTGCCATAGGAGATGCGCACGGCCTCACAATAAAAAGCCAAGTTACGGCCTCCGTTCACTAAGTGGCTAGCTGCTATGGGGATTTGAATGGGCGATAGTTTCACCATCAAACATGGTCAGACTATGGGGATCCAAGCATAGATCGCAAGATGGTGCCCCAGTTTGTGAACGAAAACTTGGTACATAACTCCAATGACTGTAAGAACTAGGGTTTATGAATTCTCTAGGCTAGATATGTCTATAGTATTCTATAGTATTCTATAGTCTTGTAGTATTCATGGGGCCAATACACCAACAAAGTTAACTGGGGGGGGGGGACCACTTAAGAAATCCACGAAAAACATCAGTTGGTCTATCACTGACACTATGAAATGCTATAAATTGGTAGATATACCGACATACAAACACACAAGTAATTTTATAGATATACTGTATACTATTTAATATACACATATTATTGAACCCAAGTAATATCTACAGTATAGAGTATGTATATACAGTATCTATAGATAGATATACTTCATATAAACTAAACTATCATCATACACATATCATAGAGTATCCAAGTATGTATAATCCGTTGCATCACATACACATATCCCACCCTATTCATATATCTGGGTACATTATAGTAATTTACAAACCTGAATCTGGGTAAATTATAATATTTCACTAACCTGAATTAAGGCCATTTGGGGATGATTCCCCTTATTAACCATGATTCCCAGTGAGGTCGCAGTCTGAGGTCGTTATAATTTACACAGACCTGAATGCTTCGGCCAACCTATGGGGGATGATTTCCCTATTTTTTTTTCCATGACTCCAGGCTTCGATCTTTACCATGTCATCCCGGTGGATTTGCAGTGTGTCATTCGATCATCGGTTTGTTGGTTGAAACAGTCGCTATGCCCCATGAAAAAATGTTGATAAGAATCGATGGTTTATAATGGAAACTCCGAAATAAACATGGATGATCTGGATGATGACTGGGGGTATCCATATATACTGAGTGGAGTTATGGCCCCAAATATCAGTTATAAGTACTGAAATGAGTCCAGAATGATGGAATGTATAATCCCATTTATAAGTTATGAATCATAAATGAACATAAGTGTAAATGGTGATATTTAGGGGAAGAAACAGAAGGAAACCACACACAATTTAGAAAAGGACGTAAATACATGTTTTTCTTATATTTCCTCCATGAACGTGGCTCAACATTCCACCAGTCGACCAACCAATCCCATTTTTCATGTGTTTTTCCATAAAAGGTGCCCAAACTTGGCCTAATTTGTGGAGATGCCCACCCCAGTTTTAAGGAAACCAATGGGTTTTCCTTCACTCCTTCACCAGCCCCCAGCCTCGCCAGCTGCCAAATCACGAGCCGCCACCAGCCCGGCTGACCCGTGCTCCCAGATCTGGCGGAATTCCGCAACGACGCACCGCCGTGCCGTGGCACCATGGATGTACCCAGACAGCGAAGGGATGTTACCCGCTGGTAAACATACAAAAAACTATGGAAAGATCCACCATTTTTCATGGGTAAATCCACTATAAATGATCTATTTCTATGGCCATTTTCAATAGCTATGTGTTGCTTTATGGTTCAATTGCTTGCCTGCAAGTGCTGAATATTTATTTTAAGGGTGGTTGTGAGTCAACTTGGGTAAATATACCAAAGAAAGGACGATCCGGGATATGTTGACTCAGTTGACTCTATGTGGACCCAAAGTCCAACACTAAAAAGTAGTAGAAACAATAGGCACCCTAATATAACTGAAGGATTTTCGAGCAAGGTCAAAGTACTGAAAGGTCACCCTCTGGGAGTGTACCTCAGTTGGTATGAGGGTAAGTTGGGTTCCTACACCCCAGTTTCAATCCCAGATCCCAATGACTAACATAGCTATTGAACATGGCCATTTATAGTTGATTTACCAATTAAGAATGGTGATTTTCCATAGTAAACATACAAAAAAAACTATGGAAAATCACAATTCTTAATAGGTAAACCAGATCCCAGTTATATAGAATGGGATCAAATTACAAACTGCTTGGTGGTTGACCTACCCCTCTGAAAAATATGAAAGTCAGTTGGGATGACTATTCCCAATATATGGAAAAATAAGAAATGTTCCAAAACGACAAACCAGCAAATAAATGACATCTATGAGTCCAAGTCCCTACTATAAATCCCAGTTGAAATCAGTAACTTACAGTAAGTTTACCGAAAAAATTGTTTCACCATCCCCCAAAAAAAGCTTTACAGCTTTATGAACTTCGATTGTCATCAGTTATAAAATGTTATAAATCCCATTAGATCCCCATAATTCTTGGGTTCAATCACCATTTTCCTATGGTTTTCCTATGGTTTTCCTATGCTTTTCCAGGGCCTCACCTTGCCGTGCCCCAGCACTGTGGCGCGGCCCGAGCGGAGCCCGGGAGTACCGGCCTAGCGGCAAGAAGGATAATGTCAAGTTAGGACTAGAAATCTACTAGGACAATATCTGGTTGGTGGTTGAGTATATGGTTGGTTCATATATGGTTAATATATATGGTTAATGATGGTTAAATTGGTTAATATATGTATCTGGTTGGTGGTTGACCTACCCCTCTGAAAAATGATGGAGTTCGTCAGTTGGGATGATTCTTCCCAGTACTAGAATAGTACGTTATGGAAATCTGATATAGTGCTGATATAGTGCTGATATAGTACTGATATGATATTGATTAAATAGTACTAGTATAGTTGATGATACTTTGATAGTATTAATCAAAATATATATATCAATAATAGTGGACATATTTGACAGTATTGATCAGTTTGTTACTATATTAATCACGTTTGATATGATAGTGAAATACCCGCTAATTAGTTAGCGGCTGATATTAGTCCCCATGGTGAACATTAGGTTCATAGTGAATATTAGTGGAATTAGTTAATGTTTGTTAGTAATTGCGGATACTATTGGATATGATCAATCAACTATGGATAGTGTTGGATATGATCAATTAAGTGTAGATATTGTAAAGTATATTATAGTTATACATAATATATATAATATATAATATATATATATACATAGGATATCATATAATATAGTAGTAAAAAATCCTTCCAGATCTGTCCGCACACTGATGGGCGTCATCACCATGTGTGTGATGTTGATGGCCCATTTGCACTCGTTTTTTTCGATGAATTAGCCTCTGGTTATTTAACATAGCCATGGAAAATGGTCCATTTATAGATGTGTTTTGATGATTTACCTATTAAACATGGCCATTTTCCTTGGCTATAACCAGGAGGGTACCAATTAAACATCTTGAAAACTTGTGATCTTCTGCAGCTGTATTCACTGACCAGATAGTATATCCCCATTCAGAACTGCGTAAAATACTCCAAGCAGATCAGGTCATGCTGAGTGCTCCGCTACGCTGAGATCTGTGTTGGCTTTGGGGCCGTGGTTCGCCAAATCCTGACCCAAAAAAAAGCCGGTTTTCGCTGGTGAATCCAGCCTGAAAAAGAGGCTAGACATATCAAAGCTGGTTGGTGGTTGCTGCTAACCCCTCTGAAAAATCATGGAGTTCGTCAGTTAGGATGATGAAATTCCCAATATATGCAAAAGTAAAAAATGTTCCAAACCACCAACCAGAAAGATATGCTGGAACGAACCGAATGAGCCTGATACTTGCTCGGATAGGATGTATTCTCCCAAAATTGAGTGAATGCATCCGACCAGGAACTCAAAGTAACTCCCCTTCATCAAACATGGCTGGAAAACCACCCACCTACTTCGAGTATTTGGAGGTTTCCTGACATGGGGCTACCCCCAAATCATCTATTTTAATAGGATTTTCCATTATAAACCGTAGCTATTGACTACGGCCATTGATGTTGATTGACCTATCAAAAAATTGTGATTTTCCATAGTTATGTTAGTTTACCAGAGGGTATCTTCCAGGAAGTTGACATGTAAATTTGCCAGAATGGAACCCCTTTGGGATCAACATCACTCTTCTCCAATCCAATCCACTTTTTTCGCATATTTTTGTTGTATCCCCATTCTGAGACAACGGTAGTTTCATCATTCACTGGTTAAATCCCTCTTGTTGACGTCTCATCATTTTTGGTGCACCGAAAAAAAACAGTTTTGGATATGGCGGCACATGTAAATCATCTAATTGATGGTTTTTCTTTCCTCCAGGCTGCCCATTTCTTCTGGCTACACGACTTTCCATTGGCGGATGGTTCAAAACGCACGATTCACCGATGATTCGAGGGATGCTGAATTTTGCTGGCTTGCCCACATGCATCAATGAAAACCTCTACAGTATTTATGTTCACCTCCAAATTTTCATAATATGAGAATCATCCTGAATCCTCCTGAAGTAGATAGAATTTATGGTATTGTTTTCAACCATATTCCCATTTTAGAGTGATGTTTTTTTGACATGTTCATACTCTTTTCACATCTTTTCACCAGGAATCATGGCGCCAGTTCCATCCAAGTGGCCACTCCAGGAATCAACGCGCAGGCATCGATGCTGGCACCCACGGCACGAGTGGAGACTAAATCGAAGGCAAAGGTCAGCCTGGCGAAGGGGCGACAAGTGGAGCCTCTTCAAATGCCGAACTTATTCAGCAAAGTTGAATTGTTAGTCAATTGTTTTGTCACTGTGGGATATCAACTCATCCTAGGGTTGAACGTAAAGACAAGTTGAAACCACCAACCAGTTTGTATACATAGGTAACAAGGATGGAATCGTTCCAACATGTTCTGGGTAGTTTATCCAGCACCATTTTGGGTTGTAAGAAGCTGGCGCACTTGGATCACAAACAGAAAAAATCAGAACTTACCCTCTGGTTATGACTAACATAGCCATGGAAAGTCACCATGTTCAATAGGTAAACCATCTATAAATGGGCCATGTTCCATGGCTATGTTAAATAACCAGAGGGTAAATGGAGATTCTAAATTCTAACCAGTCAGAATGGGGCGTTAACCTTGCAGTTTCTGATTCTGAGCTGAATAGGACTTATGTATAACCCTACCAAAGGTATACAAAAGTTATGTTTATGGAGAAAGTTCCACTTTGTTAGAGTAGGAATCTGACATGCGGAAGATTGACAGAAGTAGTTCCCTCTTTTCGCATCGCATCTGTGTGTGTCTGTAGTCCTTTTCAAAAAATAGTGAGATCACTAAGAGAAACATGCCGTGGGAAATCAAGCTCGGTTCATCGTGAATCAAAAGAGAATCTGTAGCAGTCGCTGCTTATTTTTTGTACCATAACCAAAGGTTAGAAAGTCATTTTGCCCTGTATAGGTAGATTATTTACCTACATTTTTAGGGACATATGGGTGATTTTCCATGTTTGGTACCCATTGGTTTCCACATAACCTCCAATATTTCTATATAGAATATAATATATTGATCTTCATGTTTGGCGCTTAAACACCCATATTCACCCCATTGTTGATGTTTAAATGCAATATATATATATATATATATATTTTTTTATGGCTTAAATAATCAGAAAAAAAACAATTGGCTTAAACATGTAAACAGAAAAACACATGTTGAAAATCAAGAAACTTTATCCAAAATCCCACCCCACCATGTTCAACCTCTCAAGGTCCAGGCTCTTCCTTTTCGCCACCTCTGACAGAAGCTGGCGCCTCCAGGGGATAATGGATGGCGCCAATGGATGGCTTACCCGGCCTGGTAAACGTTTACACTTTGCGAACTTGAAGCCATGGCCATTGACCCTCTGAAAATGGTGATTTTCCCATGAAAAATGGTGGATTTGTCCCATTGAAATAGCGAATTGTCCCATGAAAAATGGTGGATCTTTCCATAGTTATGTTAAATTACCAGAGGGTATGGATGGCCTATGGATCCAGTCCGGCAGATCTAGAGACTCTCACCCAGCAGGTGGGGAAATAATCATGCATTAAAAAAACACAAATCTTTAACAAAAACGATAATGTATTAACAATGATCCCTAATATATTGATTACATGTGCTTAATAGAATCCCCAATAATCATCAACCAATCATCATGTATCAAACATTTCCTCACATATCCCAAGTCCCAAGTTTTTTTGAGTTGTTTCAAATCAATATAATTAGTTCAGTCCAACAAAAGAGGATAAACATATAGGGCAACTCCAAATCCGATGGTTTTTCCATGGTTTTTCCTATGGTTTATCTTCATTTTCCCTATGAAAAACATTGACCTATGTCCATTTTTTCCGGGTGAAATTTCAGAACTCATCCCATCAACCATGGTTTCGTATGGTGTTTTAATATGAACGTGTGAAAACAAATACAGCAGACCCAATAAGTTGATATAGTTGAGTTTGTTCGTTAAGTCCCCCCCCAAAAAAATGTGTTTTTTTTAACAAATCCATAAAGATCCTTATGGATCAACCCCCCCTTGATATAGTTAGTTGTTGATTTATATACTGGTTGGTGGTTGACCTACCCCTCTGAAAAATATTAATTAGTCAATGGGAAGGATTATCCCATATATTATGGAAAAATAAAGGCCATGTTCCAAACCACCAACCAGTAAACCCCAGTGAAACTAGAACTTGGAACCCTCCCAATTAAACAGCCTAGGAGTTTACTAATCCAGGGTTGACATTATAGTTTTTGCCACCCCCCCCACAAAAAAGACACCCGAAAAAAACAAAAAAAAATCCTCACCCCGTCCGTCGTCGGCTCGAAACAAACAAACTCACCCCACCTTGATGCCACTTGCGCCTGAAAAACCGCACGTGGCAAATTCGGCCAGCTTTGAGGGCCCCGGTAAACGAAGGAAGAAATTCTAGGATTAAAGCCATAAGATTCATTCATATATATATAATATGCTATATATATATATAATGTGTATATATATGTATATATATATATATATTGTGAACAAATGGATCCTTGTTCTGGATGTTATTTCAGACCTGTAGTACCCTTGCTACTGGTAGCCGACAAATGCCATGCGGAGTCACACGACGCGTCCCTTTTCTCCATACGCTTGAGCCAATGTTTGGCGGTCACAGCATGTTGTTTTAACACTGCATGCTGTACATGTTGTTTCATCTCGTTCCCTTTAACACCCCCCATGCCCGTGGTATCTTCAGACCACGGACACGAGAGAGGGAACTTTGAATTAGAATGTTTCTGCTACCTGAATTACGCCTATGTACATAAAACAAGCCATTCGGGTCCCCCTTCCCCACATACCCGAAGGGAATAATGGTTCAGGGTTCGCCTACTCTATGGCTGTCGATGCATCGGCGCTTCATCAAGCTGTACAACGCGAATTATTGCTAGCTAACATCTACTCTTCTACGTTGGCTAAGCTTGCCACTCACCCGTCGGGAGAAATGGGTCACTTCGCTACCAAAGATTTACGATGCTAACTAACGAATTCACGTGCACATTGCAGAATTTCGTGCAGATTGGGAATATCAAAAAGTCTTGAACCTAAGCGAATTAATCTACTGCCTCGCTCAGAGTCCACTCAGTTGGTCTTTTCCTGATCATCTGTTTACAAAGACGATACACATCTTGTAGTCCAGTGATCATTTTGATGGACAGAGGTAATAAGTTCACTGCTCACGGCGGACTTTCTTCCATTGAGGTACTGATGGAGTTTTCTCCCATCCTGCCGCACGTTTCGGAGCAGCTTTCGGCGATGAGGGTTTCGCAGGCGGTGCCTTTGATGGTTCATGGGATTTTGGCATAGCTTTAGCTTTTGGCGCGCTTGCTGATGAGGATGATGCTGAACCAGTTCCTTCAGGTTTCTGTGAAGGTTGTGCTGATGATTTGGCTTTCGCGTCTGCGGTAGCAAACTTGGAAGCGGCAGTATGTCCGACTGCTTTGAATACTTCACTTACCACTTCGTCGCCAAGAGTTGGAGCCATCTTCGTTTTCATTTCGGTCTTTCCCCTCTGCGCCTCTGCTTCAGCCAGTTGAATAGCATAAGCCATCTTGCTGACAAAGTTTTGAGGTAAAGGAATGCCACATTGTTGGGCTGCAAAGAGTAGTTCCACTTTCTGTTCCTTTTCTCTCAGACTCAGATACACTGAGAAAGCTGGGAGTTCAATGCAGTTGGGGAAGCCGTGGCTCCCGGAGCGAAAGAAGGTGTATGATTCGTGTTCTGGAAAGGTTCCTTTTAGCAGTCGTCGAAGAAAATTGCTGATGGTCAATCGCATCTCCTGCTTTCCTTGGGCATCAGCCTGCATTCGGTTCATTGGCATGAGGAAACCCAATGATTCGGGAGTGTACCCGGCGCAGACCAGAAATTCCATCATCTTTTCATAGATCTCCAAATTCTTGATGACAGGCATCATCATGTTTCTTGGTCGTCCTGAGTACATCTTCTCTCCCTCTGACCATGAGTTCCTTTTCCCTTTCTCCTGAAAGAGTTCATACAATTCCAGCTCTGTCGGCCGCTTGAGGTTGCCATCCGGGTCTTCGCCTGTGTAGGGGCAGAAGTCGTCCAGATCCAGCCGGACTCGCTTGGTTTCCGTCATCATCACATGGTACTCCTCTGGGGTCATAGTGACTCTCTGGTTATAGTAGTGCCTGAACATTGTGATGACCTTTGACATGACAGCATTGTCATACAAGTGAGCCGCGGCCTCGGAGACATCATTGTTGATAAGTCCGTCTTCTGGCATACCGTTGCTGCCGCTCTCAAGATTCTTAGTCCATGCTGGAAGTTTGGTAGAAGGCTCATCATCAGGTTCGACGTCCATTTCATCATCGTCTTCTTCAATGATTTCGTCTTCTTCCTGTTGAGCTTCCTCCTCCTGATCCATTTCCTCATCGTCACCTTCATTGTAGTCGACCTCGTCAGGATTGAAGCCATAGTCGTTGGATTCGGATACGTTTTCTTGTGCTTGATTGACCGTATCCTTGAACAACGATTCTTCTTGTCGACGAACTTCTTCATCGAGCTCTTTCTTCGTGGCCTCATCTTCATCGTCTTCAGGAGCTTGTAGCCGATATGGACGAATCCCGCAACTTTCAAGTTCTGTCCAGCAAACTAGACACACTGCTAGCTTTGTCGGCGTCTCGTTGATACAGTGAGGACAATGGCGGCAACCTGAAGTTTGCACCCTTTTGCGTTCGACTATGTAGTCAATCAGCTTGATGCGGGCCAGGTATTGTTCTTGTCCGCCAGGCTCGATGAGGTTGTTCTTGAATTGGTTGACGATGTTCATGGCATCCATGGCAATCTCGTCAAACGGTTGGTCTTCGGCGTCGATGCACTGACTTGCAACTCTTAGGATGGACTCCTTGGTGGCTACCGTTCTTGATTTGATAGTTCCAGACCGGACTACCTGGTCGTCGCCCGACGGGACGAACAACCGGAGCCATGTCTTGTTGTACTGATCCTTGGGGTCCTGAATCCATCCTCCTTTGATTGCTGAGAATGGGATGATCCTTGGTGAAACGATCTGTCCCGAGTCAGTTAGTCGACCGCCATATTCCACCATCAAGGTCTCGGTCGGGATGAACAAGCATATGTAGTCACCCTTACGCGTATCAACGCTCTTCGTGATGGTCCATGATCTGTGATCCCATGGGACGTACGGGTTGAAGAACGTGAACATCCGATGACCTTCTCCAAGACCTCCTGGAATTAATCCTTGCCTCCAGATGCTTCGGAGGTTGGTCTTCTTGGTGATGTGGAAACATACCGGTAATGACAAAACAGTGTTGGGTGCGATTGGATGCGAAAGCAGCGAGGACAGCAATGAAACGTCGTCTCTTGAAGATCCTTCTTTGTGCCCCGTAGGAGCACGAACCGCCACTGGATAGAGCAGTAGACCTTCATCAGGGATGTGCGTATCCGCATCGACATTGTTGTCAATGCACGTCAGGCTGCGGCGATCAATATCCTTGTTGATCCCAAATGCCAAAACTTGTTCACGCACACGACGTCCATACCTGGCACAGTGGAACATGATCTTGAAGAGCAATGTCATGCGAAAGTTCGCCTCATTGACATTCCATGCACTCTGATCATTTGCTCTTCCCTTTGGGGCAAGGAATACGTGTGGCCAGCGTGCATAATCGTGCCTCCAGATGGACTCACATTTGAGCACTTCCTCGATGGGCACCCAGCCGGCGTCATCACAGGGCAGACTCTGCTGCTCTGATACCTTCCCCACATTGTGCCGTAGGATCCTGTTCAGTGAGGCACTCACCTTGTCCTCGTACGTGTCGAGTCGGTTGCCAGTTTCGAAGCGGTAGTTGGCCGCATATTCTACGCCGCCAAAGTAGGAGCAATTGAAGAAATGGGCCCCTGTGGTTGGGATGATTTTCAAGAAACCATCTTGCGGCGCCTCGACACGTTTGTAGAAGGTCTTCCTGATGTTGTTGTCAGAGTAGCTTGCCATGAAGTCTGGCACTGACCAAGTGTCACCTCCTCCTCTGACGATAGCGTCTCGGATCACTTCGTTAAGGTCAATAACGTTCTGTGGTCCCAGCTTTGTAACATCACGTCCTTCAATGCAGAATTTACCATACTCATCGAGGTCACCAACTTCAGACATAGTTCTGATGCTGTCGTACCATTGGTGTTCACTAAACCTCGGCTTTGTAGGTTCATCTGTTTGCCCCGACCCCTCAGTAGCACCTGAACCGTCCTTCTTGTGCTCAGGA